GGTTAAAGGGGAACTCCACCGCTTTCTCGAAATTCCTCCATAATTTGAGATGGTTCAGATTTCTTTACATTTGTGGTGATAGGAACCAGGGGTCGCCATGACTACAACACAAATATAGACATTTTATTTACTATCCAGAACCACCAGTGAACCTACACGAGTCTTCTGAGTTTATATGGAATGTTGATGATGGAAAATAGTGGAATATCTGAAATAATAAGTTTTCTTTGGGGACTATTTTGCCCTGCATGTATCCCTCCACCATGAATGGAGTTTAAGTTCTCTAAACTATCATAAAACAGTGTCTCAGTCATCAGGCAGTGAATTCATAACCATTTCCTGTAGTAACTTTCTGTGAGGGAGATTTAGAGGGGGACGTCTGGTTCCTATCACCACCACTGTGAATGATTCTGACTCAGCAAGTTTCTCTCATCTAAGCCATTTAATTATGCTGAATTTTTAAAAGATTGGTGGAATTCCCTTTTCATTACAGAACCTCCACATAAAATCTATGTTTCAGGAAAATTCATTGGACCGTTACATTGTGTGGAGGATCTCAAGGCCTTTTAAAAGTTTTTTATGCTTTCAATGTTTCTCTATGGAACCAGAAGCAGTTCTATGGCATCGCTTAGGGCACCTTTTCTAAAAATTGTGTTCTTCTCCATGTTTTCTGTTTCAGATCCGCATATCCCGCAGGACTGCCTGAGGAATTTGCATTTGAAGCTGTTTTTCGGATGGAGGGGAGCACACTGAGTAAAAACTGGAATATTTGGCAAATGCAAGACCAAAATGGCAAAGAGCAGCTTGCGGTCAGGCTGAAGGGACAGGCCTTCTCCCTGGAGTTCTCCTACATAACTGCGGAGAACGGAGCGATGACCGCTCTTTTCCCTTACCTGCCCTTTCTCTTTAATTCTCAGTGGCATAAAATCTTACTGGTTGTGAAAAAAGGCACGGTCACTCTCATACTTGACTGCGTGTTAGTAGACTCCCAGCAGCTGCCCCCTCGGGGGGTGGTCAGTCTGGACGGCTTCACTCATATCGGCAAATTAAAGGACAATCCAGCTATTTCAGTGCCGGTAAGTAGGCCGTCTGCTGAAGCATTTATACCAGTACCAAGGAAAGCTCCCACTGATTCTCCACTAAAAGGGGAACTCCACCAATTTTTCATAATTTCTCCATAATTAAGTGGTTAAGATGTAAACAGAGTAGTTCAGAGTGGTTCTCTGTTCTAGAGAAACTTACTGAGTCAGAACTGTTCACAGTGGTGGTGATAGGAACCAGACGTCCACCACTAAAAGCTCCCTCACAGAAAGTTCCTACATGAAATGGTTATGAATTCACTGCCTGATGACTGAGACTCTGTTTTATGATAGTTTAGAGAACTTAAACTCCATTCATGGTGGAGGGATACATGCAGGGCGCTGTGAGGCAAAATAGTCCCCAAAGAAAACTTCTTATTTCAGATTTTCCACTATTTTCCATCATCAACATTCCATATAAACTCAGAAGACATCTGAACCTTTTAACACCAAACCACTCTGAACCACTCTGTTTACATTTCAATGTCACCTATCTGTGTTAAAAAAGGGTTCCAAAAAAAAGGTTCTGTACAGAGACACTCTTGACGGCTCTTTAAAGAAATATTTCAGCCACTTTTTTGCAGCCATAATACAGAAACGTCCTCTCTTTTTGTCTTAAGATCTGACAGGTCAAGATAAGATTTCTCACTAATTCGTATTACAGAAGCAAAACTGATCTTAATTCAGGAATCTTATCTTATCTTACAGCATCTTATCTAAAAATACAAGATAACTGCATAACGGTCGTAATACAGTGGCAGTGTAGTGACTTTCTGTGAGGGAGCTTTTAGAGGTGGACGTCTGGTTCCTATCACCACCACTGTGAACAATTCTGATTAAATAAGTTTCTCTAGAACAGAGCGTTTCACACCAAACCACTCTGAATGACTTTGTTTACATAGTAACCACTTAATTATGCAGGAATTTTAAAAATTCAGTGGAATCTCCCTTCAGCTTTGCATTGCTTGTACTGCTGTAGGCTGAATAGGTGGATATACAGAACTGTGCAAACGTCTATCAGCAGAAACAACATATAACACTAGAATAAACACAAATAAACATAAATACAGTAAGAAATAACAGCAGTAACTAGTAGTTCTATTATGAGCTGGTCAGAAGAGTGCAGGCCAGGTTCCAGACGTCTCCTCAGTGCCACTCGGACATCGCATAGATTTCCTGGTTTACCACAATCATTTATTACCCAAACCAGGCGTTGGATCATTATTGCAGATAATACTGGGCTTCCCGAGGAGAGGTTTGGAAATGCAAACACACTGAAACACATAAAATCAATACTTGTTGTATTAATATTGTTTGGATTTATTCCAATATTAATGTTATTATGAGAAAATAGATGTGTTACTACTACATTACACAGGTTTCTAAATATAGTTCAAGAGATTTGCACTGGTCTCTGTTTAAATGTGCTGGTTTTTGTGACAACACAAAAAACAATGGATTCCAAATAGGCTGTTTCAGACGAGGGGACTGAATAATATATTTTATAACAATCTTTATATCGACATTGAAATATTTTATTTAAAAATAAAAGCTAGGAAAAATATGGTTTTCCATGAAACAGGCCCATTAAAGAAATATCCTTTAAACGGTTCCTTGTAGAACCTTATTTTCTCCGGTATCACTCTAAAGAAGCCTTTCAGCACCTTTATTTTGAAGAGTGTTGTTTAATAAGGCTGAACGAGGCTTACAGTGGGAGCAGACCGGCAGCCTGTAGCTCTTTAAGTGGAATCTGTGCTTTTCCAGACAAACTTCTGCAGGTATGTGAGAATTGTAGCACAGAGGCTCTAGTCTAATAGATGACCTGCACACAGGACCAGAAGCTCATCTCCCTACAGTACAACTCAAGACCATTTAAAGGGGAATTCCGAACATTTTTCAGAATTTCCACATAATTAAGTGGTTAAAATGTAAACAGAGAGGTTCAGAGTGGTTTGGTGTGAAACGCTCCGTTCTAGAGAAACTTACCGAGTCAGAACTGTTCACAGTGGTGGTGATAGGAACCAGACGTCCACCTCTAAAAGCTCCCTCACAGAAAGTTCCTACATGAAATGGTTAGGAATTCACTGCCTGATGACTGAGACATTGTTTTATGATAGTTTGGAGAACTTAAACTCCATTCATGGTGGAGGGATACATGCAGGGCGCTGTGAGGCAAAATAGTCCCCAAAGAAAACTTCTTATTCCAGATTTTCCACTATTTTCCATCATCAACATTCCATATAGACTCAGAAGACTCGTGTAGGTTCACTGGTGGTTCTGGATAGTAAATAAAATGTCTATATTTGTGTTGTAGTCATGGCAACCCCTGGTTCCTATCACCACCACTGTAAAGACATCTGAACCATTTCACACCAAACCACTCTGAATCACTCTGATTACATCTCACACACTCAATTATGGAGGAATTTTGAGAACTTGGTGAATTTCCCCTTTAAGACTTTAAGCTTGTTTTTACTGGAGATTTTCTGTTAAGGGTTATGAATAATGAGAGTAAACACTGTTAGCGTTAGCCTGCAGGGGCCTGTAGCTAACTTTAGATAAAAATATTGAGAACTTTTAAAACATTTTGCTCTCATTTACGTCTGCTTGAGAAGACTAATCACACAGAACCTTCTAGAGTGAACTGTAGCAACGAAGATACAACATCTGTTCTTTAAGAAGCACGTCGGCCCGCAAAATAGCAGCTAACGAGAAAGACTTCCTGACTTTCTGCATAAAACTTAAATTCATGATAAATTTCAGAACATACCTTGAATTGAATGACAAAAACAAAACTAGTAAATAATGTTTTGCACAATCATTAATCTCATATTTACAGATCTAAAAGACGTTTCTCCTTCAGAATTAGTCACAAGCCATGTAGGAAAAATCCTTAGTGCCACAAAATTAAGCAAAAGCATTACAGTGATTTTGTCACCACTAAGCGGTGTTACTACACAAAAAATGTCATCTTGGCAAGTAAAATTATGGTAAATATGGTCAAGATTTCTAATATTCCTCAAGCTGAGATTGTTGTAAGCTTATTACAAGACTTTTTTTGCTTATTATAGACATTTTTTAAGTATTTTAGACATTTTATTAGGCACAATTCTAACTATATTTGCAGATAGTTTTGCTGTATTTAAGCACATTTCTTCAAGAAAATTATCTGCCAGTGTAGTGAGATGAATAAAGTTAAAATTAGCACAGTAATAATGCTGCTAATGAGTTTTGGTCTCTTCCATTTCAGTTTGAACTGCAGTCAATGCTGATACACTGTGACGTAACAATTCCTCAAAGGGACACCTGTGGACATCTGCCCGCTAGCAGCTCGGTAAGACTCGGCAACACTACTGTCTGCCCCCCCCCCTCTTTTGTAAGATTAAAAACACATTGTTTTTAATCTTACAATTTGTCCCTAAATCAAAGCTAACAGTGTTGTATTGTCGGGCTCTGTCCTGCTTCACTGTAAGGTCGTCTCTCACGTGTCTGTGAAATTTCCCACCAGCTCTGTCAAAGACTGGGTCTCAAATCCAGCCCTAATTCTTTGCATAGTGAATCGTATGGAAGCAGAATGACCCGGTCAGGCCCAGATTACGATCCTCTGATGCTCTGTCAACAAAAACACACCCTCTCCTAATCACACACTGCAAAAAATGACATCACAGCAAGTGAAATTGTCTGAAATCTACTATTTTGCAATTTGAGATTGCTGTAAGCTTATTATAAGATTTCTTAACATATTTCTAGACATTTGTTACTTGTTTTTCATGATTTTAGTGAATCAGATTATCTCACTACACTCACAGATCATTTTGCTTTTTGTTTCAAGCATATTTCTGATTTTAAAAGCAAAATTATCTGCAAAAATGATATCTTAGCAAGTGATACTCTCTTAAATGTAGTCAACACATCTGATATTTCTCATTACGAGACTGTTTTAAGACTATTATAAGATTATTCTGGCTGTTTCTGTACATTTCCATTTGTTTTGAGAAATAATGCAGATAATTTCGCTTATTTCAAGAACTAATGCTTAAAACAAGTGATCTGCCAATGGAATAAAACACTTTATTGTATGGAATTACTTAAAAACAAGTCTCAAAATAAGTTAACCTTTATGTTACCCAGAGCCCACGATTTGCGGGCAAAACGGTAGGTCACTTCTAGCCTTTATAACTTCAGAATGGTTTAAGGTACAAACATGATCCCCATTTCAGGACATTCAGCAGACCCGCCCCTAACAAGCAAGCATGATGTCATCAAGCTGTGATGTCAGCATCAGTGAGTAATTTGGCTTGGAAAATCACCTAAAATCCTGATATTATTGCTCTGCTGTTTGGCCTTCATATTCCAACAAAGGGTTAAAACAGCGACAGCGACACATCAGATCACTCATTAGACTCTGCCTCACCATCCAGAGTGATTTCATCCACCTGTGACCATCAATCAGCCAGAGATCAGCTCCAAAATCACCCAAACCCCACTCACTACTGTTATATTACATCTCTGCTTTTAGCCTTCATATTATAAACAAAGGGTTAAAAATAGCGACATGATTCACACCTCAGAACACTCAGAGGAACCTGACATCACTAGCCAGAGTGAGCGAGACCAGCTCTCCATTTCTAACATCCCACAACCCAGAAATACAGCACCAACACAGACATAACCACTGTAAAACCTGCTATTAGCTCTCTGCTCTAGACTTCTTATGGCAACAAAAGGGTTAAAAACAGCAATGCAAATCACACATCATGGCTCATCAGGACTTACCCTGTGTGTCCAGAGTGACTCTGTGGAGATTTTAGCCGTGATTCAGTCAATAATCCTTTTAATAATTTAATAATTTCCATTTAATAATCTTATAATGTTATTACAACCGTCTCAAAATGAGAAATATTAGAAATATCAACTAGATTCAACCTGAATAACTGACGCATAAAAATCAAATTCATGACCAATTCAAGAATATACAAACAAGAATAAGAATACGAAAGTTTTATATATAAACACAACACAAGAAACTAGTAAATACTTTTTGACACAGCATTATTAGTCTCATTTTTCCAGACCTAAAATTTTGTCTCGGCCAGGACAAAACAATACAGCAAAAGCCACAAGAGGCTCACATTATAGTGATTTTATCACCGCTAAGGGTGTTACTACACAAAAAATGCCATCCTGGCAAGTAAAATGAGTTTTACTTGAGTATAGTTGATATATGTAATATATTTCTCAAGTTAAGCTGTTGTGAGCTTACTATTTTATTTTATTTTTTTTTATCTATTTTACTTATTTTTTTACTTATTTAAAGTAATTTTATGAAATAAAATAATCTCACTACATTTGCTGATAAATTTGCTTTATTCAAGCACATTTTTTAAAACAAGAAAATTGTCTGCCAGTTTAGTAGGATAAATAAAGTCAAAAATGTCTAAGTTAAATAATCTTAGAATGAGTTAAATAATCTTAGAATGAGCTCACAACAATCTCAACATGCGATTTACTAGATATATCAGCTATACTTAAGATCATTTCACTTGCTAAACATTGCTTGCATTTTTTGCAGTGCAGGCACAAAGTGAAGCAGTGTAAACTAGCTGTTACCCGAGATAAAATCACTGTAACGCGCGGCCTCAGGTGGTTTATTCTCAGGTGGTAGGTAAAGCGGTGCAATGTTTAAAAAGCCACTCATGAAGTTTGAGTTTTACATTACGTTTACGTCGCGTCTTCTTCTGTGAGTTTATTGGCTGGTTGTAAAGCAGAAATCTGATTACTGTCTGACTCATGTAAACCTGAAGTTTCCCATTATCTAATTACTCAAGTGCATGTAAACGTGTTGATCGGATTACTGACAAAATCTGATTTTCTGCAGTTATCAGATTATTCAGTGCATGTAAACGCGCTCAGTGTATCCTGGCCTTTAGATTGTGCTGCTGTGGCCAAACAACTCTGGGCTGCTGAATGTTCAGTCGCCCATCGTCATTGTATACTGCAGTGATTTCATGAACGTTTGAACTTTTTGTCATATAAAAATGACCATTCATATAATAATGAACAGAAAAATCAACAATTTTTAATCCTTTAAAATCCAGCCTATTATTTAGTAACTACTGGGGCTTCAATGCAAACTGGCTGAGCTGTTCTTAGGTTATAGAAGTGCGTAATAAAACTTTGGGTCTGCTGGTGGGCATTTCAGGGGTTAATGCAAAAACTTTCGCTCTATAAGTAGTTTACACTTACAAACCACCACTGTGACAACAGTGCTGATCTCTTCAGTATCTTTAAGCAGCTCTTCCCAAACTGGGGCTGAAATTCAAACGTGAAGTGCCTGACGTAGGTATTGAAATAGTGTCTCCTGAACTCAAAGGGTGTGAATTATGTCTAATAAACAGCCATTTGGGATCCAGTCACATGTGCACCATCCATACAGGACAAATACTGAACCTTTTGGGTGCAGAAGCCAGAATGTCAGAACCTAGGGCACTATATAGGACAGAGGGAGCCGTTTGAGATTCAGCCTGAGTTTATATAGCAGCCTGTGTGCATGCTGAGTATTTTACAAACAGATTTTAGGGGAAACTATCAGACAACTTTCCCTTCTGCTCTATTACATACTTTATATGTTTTTACTGCATTAATATCAGATTAATGGGGAATATGATCTCTGTGTTCAACCCTGATACTCACTTCAGCCCTGTTACCCAGTTTTTTTTCCAATTTTTGGTGTTATATCTTTAAACACCTAATTTAGTAGGTTATGTTACCAGAAGTGTCAATTTGGTAATAAGAGTCATTAGTTAAAATTACTAATAAAAGAAAAACTGCAGTATTTTTTGAAGTAATTTATATGACAAATATAGAAAACAAAAAAAAACCTTTAGATTTGTATTATTTTACTTTTATTTTATTTTGTACATCTCCCTAAAAATTGCTAACAATACAAAAAAATATTTAGATAGTCTTGATCAGCCCATCAGAAAGAGTTACGTGTATTAAAATAAGAACAGCAGCCGCGGAGCTGATTTGGTTAAACAAGGGACTAGATTTACTAAAACTTCCAAAAAAAACTTGCTACTTTATACAACCCCATTAACAAAAAAGTTGGGATGCTGTGTAAAATGTAAACAAAAACAAAATGCAATGTGCAAAGTGCAAATCACCACTCTGTGAAAGACTGCACCATCAAATAGTGAAACAATTCAAGAATAACGTTTCTCAACGTAAAATAGCAAAGAACTTTTGCTTTTCATCATCTATGGTACAAAATATCATTAAAAGATTCAGAGAATCTGGAGAAATCTCTGTATGTAAGGGACGAGGCCAAAAACCAGTATTTGCTGGTCGTGATCTTTGGGCCCTCAGGCAGCACTGCATTAAAAACAGACATGATTCTGTAGTGGAAATCACTGCATGGGCTCAGAAACACTTCTGAAAAACACTGTCTGTGAAAACAGTTCATTACTGCATCCACAAATGCAAGTTAAAACTCTAAAATGCAAAGAAGAAACCAAATATAAACAGGATCCAGAAACGCCGCCGACTTCTCTGGGCCTGAGCTCATTTTTTTATTAAAAAAGAATCCGGGTGCTAAACTGACCTGCCTGCAGTCCAGACCTGTCACCACTGATGACATTTTGCACATTATGAAATGAAAATTACGACAAATGAGCCCTCGAACTGATGAGCAGCTGAAATCCTGTATCAAACAAGAACAGGAAAACATTTCACTTTCTAAACTACAGCAGTGTCTCCTCAGTTCCCAAACACTTACAGAGTGTTGTTAAAGAAGAGGTGATGAAGCACAGTGGTAAACAGGCCCCTGTCCCAACTTTTTTGGAACGTGTTGTTGGCATCAAATTCAAAATGGGCAAATATTTTTCAAAAAACAATACAATTTCTCATTTTCATTTGATATGTTTGTCTTTGTAGTACTTTAAAAATATGGTTTACATGATTTGCACATCATTGCATCCTATTTTTATTTACAATCTGCACAGCGTCCCAACTTTTTTGGAAATGGGGTTGTACATAAACAGACTATAAATAAATAAATAAATAAATAAATACAATATCTTCTGTAGCACAGCAGCAAGCTAACCGGTGGTGACACAGACATTAGCAGCCTAAGATGGTTCTTCAAGGGACAGCAGTTCCATTTAGAGCCAAGAACACTCAAAGAACCATCTGTATGTTTAAATGGTTATTCGCATGGTAAAATGGGTCAGCAGATTGAGGGAGAATGCGTTGTATAGGGTTCTGTGTAGCACCAAAAAGGGTTCTGCTATTGTTACAAGCTTGACATTATTATGATATAACCCTTTTTGGTGCTATATAGAACCATTTTTAAAACGTTGCTATATGGAACCATATATAACACACTCTCCATCAATCTGAAGAATCGTTTCACCATGCAGAGAACCATCTAAGCATGCAGATGATTCTTTGAGTGTTCATGGTTTTAAACAGGACCATTGTCTGGCAGACATTCTAAAGAGGTTCTAGAGGGAGTGAATATACAGCGGGGAACTAGACAATAACAGTTTTTCATCACTCAGGATGATGACAGGAGCGAATGGATTTAATCAATGTGCTCTAATCAATGGGAAATTCCACCTATTTTTCAACATTTCTGCACAATTCAGACACTGAGATGTACCAGTTATTCCACCACTTCTCTAGAGAGGAGCATTTTACACCAAACCATCCCGTTTACATCTTAAAGGAGAACTCCACCAATTTTTCAAAATTTCTGTATTAGTAAGTGTTTAAGATGTAAAAAGAGTCATTCAGAGTGGTTTGGTGTGAAACGCTCCGTTCTAGATAAGCTTACAGAGTCAGAACTGTTCACAGTGGTGGTGATAGGAACCAGACGTCCACCTCTAAAAGCTCCCTCACAGAAAGTTACTACATGAAATGGTTATGAATTCACTGCCTGATGACTGAGACACTGTTTTATGGTAGATTTAGGTCTTAAAAACCAATCATGGTGGAGGGATACATAATATGTAGTGCGCTGTGAGGCAAAATAGTCCAGATTTTCCACTATCTTCCACCATCAACATACCATATATACCTCAGAAGAGGCGTGTAGGTTTACTGGTGCTTTTGGATAGTAAATAATGGTTATAATTGTGTTTTAGCTTTATCTACTGTATAGAATCTCAGTGACTGAAATGCAGAAATTTCGCTTTAATTCCCCTTTAACCCACATCCCACGGTCAGTCGTGAGGGAATGTAGGAGAGCACTGCTTAGGGACCCTGTGGAATGGAGTTAAATATGTGAAAACTACTGAACCTCCGGCTAGTGTACTTGATTTGAAAGAAGAGGTCAGTTTGGGACACAGCCACGCCCTCATGCCCACTCATTTCCTCCCACTCATGAATATTCATGAGGGCCCCGTGATTATGGTGGCCCTTGACTAACAGTGAGTTGAATCGGGTTTGGTTGGGTGGTCTGGTCGGGGGTCCATCTGCCCAGCTCAGACCCAGACAGCGGAGCGTTTTAGTGCCGGGAAGATGACGATGGCTCGCGCCTGGAGTCTGCGCGGGCTGCTTCTGTTGGGAATAGCGCTCATCACCTCAGCTCAGGTAAACTCACCTTCTGCGCTCTCCTCTGCTTTTCCACAGACAGACGGAGCCGAGTTTGGGGTAAATATGCATGCTTTGCCTTCGTTTCTCGACTTATTTTGGAGGAGAGTCCTTTAGAAGGTCCTGCTTAAAGGGGAACTCCACCGAGTTCGCAAAATTCCCGCATAATTCAGTGTTTCTTTGAGTGGTTTGGTGTGAAACAGTGTCTTTCTGTGAGGGAGCTTTTAGAGGTGGACGTCTGGTTCCTATCACCACCACTGTGAACAATCCTGACTCGGTAAGGTTATCTAGCGTTTCACACCAAACCACTCTGAGTGACTCTGTTTACATCTTAACCATTTCATTAAAGTGGGAATTTTGAAAAAGTCGGCGAAATTCCCTTTTATTAACGCTAATGCTAAAGTAGCCTTCATAAATAAGCATGATAACTAGCTAATTTAGTTCTGCGAGCTAACCAAGCTAATTTACCTCATAACTACATGCCGGTGCACGCGACCGAGAAAAAACCGCGTTTTTTCGAACAAAACGCATATTTTTCTCGACTTTTCATTATTAAACCATCATTTACCCCGTTTTTAGAGTGGCTACAGATTATATAGATATAATTAATTCGTCTTTTTTCAAGAAAAGAAAAGAAACTCGGAGTAACGTTAATGTAGCAAACGAACTGAGGAAATCCCTGACTCCTGTAGTCAGAATTACTTAAAAAGGAACCCTTTTCAGCTTCGTCTTCAGTCCTTAGAAAAATAAAAAAGGTGGGGTTTACTTTGTTCATCTTTTCACAAGGCTGAACTTGGCTTCGTGTTCGACTTTTCCGGTCCACCTTAAATGGTGCAGCAGTTACCTTAGAGGTGCGCCGGCGCCACAAAGTAATGCAGCGCCATTTAAGGTGGAACGGAAAAGTTGACTACGAAGCAGAGACAAATCTGAGCTTCATCCTCTTTTCCACAAAGCTCTGCGAAAAAACACTGTTTATTTTTGGTTGTCCGGTTTTTAATAAGTGTTAATTGCGACTTAAATCCTGATGAAAATACAGAGCTTCGGTTCAGGACGAATCCGAAACCGTTTCTGTGAGCAGAGTTTGTTTTTACAGCCTTAGCGCTGTTTAAGATGCTAATTTAACAAATTCACACTCCTCAAAGTCAGACTCCTTCCTGGATTACACACTCCTCCGGTAAAATGTCCCCCAGAACGATTACGAGGAAAAAGCACGGAGTCGAAGAGTCGACTCCAAGCATTTCGACTCTCGGAGTCGTTGGCCAAGAGTCGACTCTGGCTAACAGACCAGTTAGATTCGGAGAATCGACTCTCTGGGAATCGACTCCCATTACTACCTTCAATAGTGTTATTTTTAAGCATGCCTGCCAACTTGCTTTGTGGTAGTCTGTTAGTTTAGTCAGATAACAGACCTGACCTGCCACTGGATTTTCAGTAGGGGTGATTTCTATTCTAAATCCAAATAAACAGGACTATTTATGCTGTTGTATTTGTTCACTGTTCTTTATGTGCTGACGATATGGTCAGAAATGAATATTGTGACATTATTTAACATGATAACGATAAAATATTGTTATATTGCCTACTCCACTGGCTGTCAAGTGCGAGCATCTGCGTCCTACTGCACTATGCATGCGATACTAATGATGCTGTACACTATTAAGTATGCTAGAATGCGGTTTGGGACGCTTCTTCTTCCCCTGACTTGCACTAGGCCTGCTCGCAGCAGGTAAAGTCTTCATCAGCACATGACAGTAACGCAAACTTTTGGTTCCTAGCAGAGGAACGGAGGACCAGCTGGCCCACCAGGACCTGCTGGAGTCCCGGGAATCGATGGAATTTCTGTGAGTTCATTGCTCTGTGTTCTACTGCTACTCCACTTTAAAGAGTGATTCAGAGTGTTTTGATGTGAAATGGTTCAGATGTCTTTACAGTGGTGGTGATAGGAACCAGGGGTCGCCATGACTACAACACAAATATAGACATTTTATTTACTATCTCAAACTGTTTTTGGGGACTATTTTGCCTCACAACAACCTGCATATTATGTATCCCTTCACCATGAGTGGATTTTAAGGCCAAAATCTTCTCAAATCTATCGTAAAACAGTGTCTCAGTCATCAGGCAGTGAATTCATAACCATTTCATGTAGTAACTTTCTGTGAGGGAGCTTTTAGAGGTGGACGTCTGGTTCCTATCACCACCACTGTGAACAGTTCTAACTGTAAGCTTATCTAGAACGGAGCATTTCACACCAAACCACTCTGAACGACTTTGTTTACATCTTAAAAGTTTAATTATGTGGACATATTTTTGAAAAATCAGTAAAATTCCTCTTTGATCAGTGACCTACTGTGCATAACTAGACACAACCCACTTTAATCAACTACTATGAATGTTTTTTCAGGGGGAGAGAGGTGAAGATGGAGAAGATGGCTCAGCTGTGAGTACCAGCACTAACTAAACACTTTAGTTCTCTTCAAGTTGTTCTTTTATGTTCTTTCAAAAAGACTATCGGCAGCAAAATCCCCAGCACTGAGTGAAAACAGTTCATTTGGACCCGTCTTGACTGTAGCTGATTCTTTAAGGGTTCTTTAGTAAAGACAGTGGTTCGTGTAGAACCATGAACACTCAAAGAACCATTTGCATGCTTAAATGGTTCTCTGCATGGTGAAACGGTTCTCCAGATTAATGTTGTGTATGGTTCAGAACCTTTGTATGGTATAGCACCAAAAAGGGTTATGCTATTGTTACGATGTCAAGCGTGTAACAATAAATGAAACCTTTTTGGTGCCATGTAAAACCATATACAGCACATTCTGCATTTGAAGAACTGTTTCACCATGCAAAGAACCATTTAAGCGTGCAAATGGTACTTTAAGTGTCCATGATGCTATACAGAACCACTGTCTTTACTAAAGAACCCTTAAAGAACCATGTTTAAGAGTGTGTAATACATACAGGTGGCCTGATATCACTTTTTCTTTTCTGGTATTGATATTTAAACCAAGCCAATCTGGATCCAGTGTTTCCTCTTTAACCTCTAAGCTTTACAATGAGTTGTTTTCAATTGAGTCACGTCGGTTCAACTGCTTTATTTAACTCTGGTTAATTTTTTTTATATTACTTTGGTCTGTTTTAATTTTTGTTTTACATTCATTATTCTTTTTATTAGTTTTATTATGAATATTTTTATTGTTTTATGCCTATTTGGTTTGTCATTCATTCAAAAGATGGCAGAAATTATATGATTGTAAAGTGTGTTTATTTTGCTAAAATTACATATTTAAACACTGTATTATTGCTTTGTGTGTGACCCTTACAGAAGCCTTGTTTTGTATTGTTTATTTTGTGGACAGAGTCAGTAATATAAAACAGAAGCATAGTGTGATACGTCAGTAAAGGGAACATTGAGTGGTTGTTTATAACGATGTGCATGTCAGATAAGTACTTCCACTTTTGTGCACAAATTAGTATTACTGTGATCTTCTGATTTTACTCTAATATATAATAATAGTTGTGGTTATTTAACCTCAAATCAAGGGTTTTTTCATGGTAAACTACTGCGCTCTAATTTGCTTTATTTTGGCAGTTTTGTTGAGTTATTCTGATTTGACTATTTTTTTATTTTACTATTATGATTATTTTTTTGAATTATTTTTAAGATTTGATGTGTTTTTTCGGTTCCTATTTCCGGTATTGGCTTGGCGGCACTGTAAATGAGGGTCACGCCCACTGTACTCCAGGGTTAAATAAAAATTTGATTTACTGATTAATTGATTAAAATGAGAATCTAAAAATAGGTGATCACGCTCAGCTTACTGAAACACTCATCTGCCCCACAGGAGGAAACGTACACAATGTGTTCGCAGTTTCATGACAGATTTGTTACAGGATCATATCACATTTTTTCCCTCTGATATCCAGAAACATTCTTAACTTAAATTAACGTAAAAACATTTTTTTCGACATCAGTTTGGACTGTTTCTGCCATTCATCGTGAAAATCTAAAACAGTGCAAATTCTCGAATTATGTAAAAAAAGTGAAAAAAATGACAAAAATAGAGATAAAAGCTTTTGCATAAAAAACGACGACATACTATCTCTAATAACGAGAGGCAAGATCAATAATAATATAATAATTTGGCAGTTTTAAGGTGTTAGTTCACCGCTTTGTGCTGTACAGTAACTCACACATTGTTTCACACTGCAGGGACCCGACGGCGAACCTGGAAAACCGGGATCGGCGGGACTTCCCGGACTGCCTGGAGCTGATGTGAGTGCTTTGCTGCTAATTTCCTTTTAGGGTTGATGGCACTAAAGCTCTGTTTTTACTGTCATATAATAGGCTTTAATCAAAAGGACAGAGGGACGCTGACTGAGGGTTTTGTTGTGTGTGCGTGGGCATGGTGGGGGGGGGGCTGGTGGTCCTCTACAAATGGGCCAAAAATGCAGGGAATTTCACATGCTGGACTGAAGTAATGAACCCAGGAAGAGCTTCCTCCCTCAGACAACAGTCTTTTTGTCTGAGCTTGAAGACCTGGAGCTCTGGACTTAATTAAAGTCCTCTCTCTGTGAAAAAGGTAGAACGGGTTAAGAAAATAAAGCCTTTCTGCCCTCAGCAGCGAAAACAGACAGGTGCTAATGTTCAGGCACTGAAGGAAGGCTCCACGCAAGTTCCACGTTCAAATAATAGAAAGTCTTATGGGCGCCTGGGTCATGTGACATGTTTTGTTGCTTTTCTGAGTGTAAATAAGTGAACAAGTCCTCTAAAGACAGCTCATTTTTATTCACAATTACTGTTTATTTGATAAATTTTAATATAAGAAGAAAAAATATGGGATAAAATGTGGCAAAAGTTATGGCACATTCATTTTTTCCCATTATGTTGAATCAGAATTTATGCAGTAAAATTTTAAATGCATTCTCTGTAGAGGGTTTATTAACTTATAATGCATTTTTGTTCGTGCTAATGATGTTTCGAATTAGATTTAGTTATGTTTTTACCACTTATTATCTGCAATGTTCTTATTTTTTAAAAGTGTGGTTAGTTTTACTCCACATTTTTATATTGTTTTTTTTTTGTCTAATTTGTGCATAAAGCACCTTGAAACTTTAAAATAAAAACGAAAGGTGCTACATAAATGAAGATTATTATTATTATTATACTCCGAAAATGAACAAAACATGGCATTCAGTGGGTCATTCCAACTTTTCTGCAGGACTGTATGACAACACGATTTCGTCTTTTAGTTGACTTACTTTTGGCTGTTATTGTGTTGATGTTAGATGCTCTCTGACATAAAATCTGTCGTTTTTACACTTTCTCGAATGGGTAAAATCAAGGGTAAAATCAAACAGAGTGAACGCTGATCTGTTCCCTGACGTTTTTGCGCTGTGGACAGATCCCTCGAGGGTATCTTTCCCATCTCTAAGTTCATGAAATCAGGTTTTGGCGGGTGACTGAGAGAGACGAGTGAGGGTTTTTGTGAGCAGTGAACACAGAGGACGCCTCTCTTTGGAAATCCTCAGCCTGGTGTGGAATGATGGGTGTGAAAGTGGCTTGTTTGAGAAGGTCAGATGGCAGGTAGCTGAACTGCCTGTGATATTCAGACTGCTGCATGTTTGCTCATGGATAGTTGGTGTGCTGGGTGAGGATCTGCAGTTCTTTTCTTTTCTCATTTTACAAATACCATTGCATGACTTCCAGAAGAAAGGACAGATTAATAAAAGCATAAATAAACATAACCAAAGAGGAGATAATCTAGGAGATAATCTAGTATCCAACTGCTAACAGGACCATTTTACAAACATCGAGGGTTACACAGAAACACATAATATAGATGTGCATACAAATCACCTTTTATATGTCGCTGCGGTTGGAAGAAAACCTTGTATCTCCAAAATGGTAACTTTACAGGAGAAGAAAAAACAAACTCTACTTTTAGTGTAAGTCAATGGGACCAGACTTTTCTCCAAGTAATTCTGGGCCGTTTCTTCTGGTCCGCTCATCATGAAATTCACACGCAAAGTAAAGAGGAACAGGCATTTTCAGATTGTCAAAAAATTGAAAAACGGAGAGATATGAAGTTTTGTTCTGACAGCAGCGATATTCTCTTGGGCCACGTTCACATTACCAGGCTGAAGTGGCACAAATCCGATTTTTCGCCCTAATGTGACTCAGATCTGATGTTTTCAGAGCTGTGTGGACACAAATCTGATCTTTTCAAATCCGACCTGAGCCACTTTCATATGTGGTCCTAGATCTGATACGTATCCAATTCGTGGCCATGCAACCTTAATGTGACGCTCAGATCAGAATCCATGTGCTTTTTCTCCACTGCATGTGTGCCATCATTCAGCGTTACCATGGCAGCAGCGCCAAACAGACATTAAAGCCTGTAAACGGTGGAAAAGCAGCTCATCTCACCTTTTTCTCCTTCGTCTCGCTCTAATAATGAAGCTGAGAGCTGATCAGAGTTAATGATCTTCTCAGCGAAGCTCGTTCTGCTCGTTAGTTTGTGCTGATGATGAATGTGATTCATTCACGTGACGTTACTGAGTAGGATGAGCTCATGAGGGTCATTTCAGGACGCCGGTTCGTCACACTAATGACAGATTTGAATCACTGACCTAAACGAGTGTGAACCATCATGACAGAGAGATCGGATTTGAGCAAAAAATCAGATTTTCAGATTGAAGTAACGAGGTCTGTAATGTGAACGTAGCCTAAACTGCTTGTGTTTGTTGCCCTAATGGGGTATTTTAAGATCCATTTGCCCCAGTATTTTGTAGAGTGTTCCATCCTCAGTTGTAACATAAATGTAAGTCTTTCTGTTGAGTAAATTTCATTGAAAATTTTAGGCCATTGTTTTTTGTTGGGGGGTCCTGCTGCTTCCACTTTCTTGTTATGGTCTTTACTGACTACCAATAAAACAGGGTGATTCAAAAAGATTCATCCAATTTCAAAATGATTGATTTCCCTTGTAAATCATTACAGATCAGTGCAGTAAACTGTAAATCGTTTAAGGAGCATAAAGTTTATTATGTAATTGTACAAGGTCTCAGTATGAACCTCCTCCAGCTGTACAGACAACATCAACACCACAGTCAAACTCATCCCATACTGGATTGAGCATGTCGGGTGTCGCTGCACTCACGGCTCTTTCAGTGCGATTTCGGAGATCATCCAGTGTTGTGGAACCAACGACGAACGCTCTGAGCTGTTGGAGCTTCACTGACCACGGAAATCACAGTTATGACTGATTCACTCTTATTGAAGTGGAGAACGTAGAACGCTTTCTGCTCAGGGGTCTGAAGGGAGCCAGTCAGAAACTCTATGACCCCCTCTTTCAGTTGGATTGTGATTGGTTCCTAGGTGCCTCACGGTTGGAAAAATATGGCTCTTTGAAATCAGATTAACTTTTTTGAATCACCCTGTAGTTTAAGCATGTATTTATCATTCTTCCCTACTAACTGGAGTAATTTCCCAAAAACCCACCATGGTTTCACCCATAAAAACTCATAAGAAATTCCAAATAAGTCTCCAGTAGCGTTTCCAGTCTCTTGCCAAAAAGACAGAATTAATGGCCAGCCCCTAAAAATATGAAGATTATCAGCCATTTAAGTACCGCACCGTCTCCGACACTGTAGGATCTGCAGTTCTGTAGGACCTTCCTGTTCAGCCCGTTTTGTCTAGGTTTATTTAGCATGGCATAACTTTACCGTGGATGTTAGAAGAAGGAGGAAAATCGATATGACATTGTATCGTAATATTTTGGGCAAAATAAGTAGTATTGATACACGGTGACATGAATAGCATCATGTTATCTTTTCATTGTCAACCTTTTCTAGATCACCATACCGGTACTGGCGCACTACCATCGAAGCGTTCACATCGAGTCTTCAGCAATACGGTGATGCAGTGCACCGTTAGGAAGCTGAAATCTCAGGATTTGATTCCCACAAACCATTTTATGATCCGTTACTCACAGCAGTTGCGATCGCCTCATTTACAGGATCGGCACCGAATGAGCAAACGCTAACAAACCTGTGTGTCCTCACCTTCAGAGCCTCACCGCCTCCACAGAGACACTATAATCCACAACAGGTGGTCTGATAACACGGCAAGAGTCAGAGATCAGTTTAGAGATCTATGAGTCAGGAGGAAATAAAGTCCTCCGTTCTAGACTCTGTTACTCTGTAATTCAGTCAGTAATTCATACAGTTATTCTGACTGTTGAGAGTGTTTCCTCTCAAACGAGACCGAGATCAGAACTGTAGCCCAGAGTATGAGGGAACAGCGCCCCCTTCACTTTGGGTATAAAATGGGGCGACAGTTAACAGGTAATATTGTACATATAATAATTAAATTGGTAAACTAACTAAATAAATACGGATATTATATATAATATGAAAGCGCAGTGTTTTAAGACATTTTCACGATATACAATATGCATCATGATATTTAGTTTTCCTGACGTTTGACAAGTTGGACCAGACAAAAGTGAAACCAGTAGTACATTTACAAAATAAATGTAATTTTTCATGATAGCGTTGAAATATTTTTATGATGCCTACCTTATTAATAATTATGCACTGAAAAAAGTGGAACAAACATGGCAGCTTAATTTCTGCATTGAGATAACAAAAAAAGTTGCATGCAAAAGTTTTGGCGCCCCGGTCAAGTGACATGATTTGTCATTTTCTAAGTGCAAATAAGTAAACATCTTCTACAGAGACACACTTTTCCACAATTTAATGCATAATTACGGTTTATTTGCTAAAGTTAATCTACTGGGGAAAATATATGACATAAAATGTGGCTTGTGCAAAAGTCATGGCGCATTCATTTTTTTCCCATTATGCAGTACTCAGCAAATAATCGATATCCTCAGTGTTGACGATATCCACAATGCTCACAAAAGCTTATGATGGAATCTATAATGATAGAGATGACGTATTGTTTCCTGTTTGGGTCTTTAGGTTGCTTAATAGGTTGTTACTTTAATTTAATGATGCTTCTGATTGTCTCAAGCCATCTGATAGTGGTCATCCTATAAGTCTTTTACCTTCAAAAAAGAAACAGTGGTGCTATATTTAAAAAAAAAACTATCAAAGAACTGTGAACTCAGTAATTTTTATTGAATATTTGGCACTGAATCCAGGTAAACTGACTAATTTTGCTCTATTTATAATGAAACATGCAGTTGGTCAGTGTCTACAAGCACTGACGATATACACAATATGCTCAGGAAAGCAAGTTGTGTTGTATTATAACATAATTTATGGTGATACTGATATATATTGTCATATTACCCAGCCTTGGTTCCAAGCATAATTGTCTTTTCCAGTGAACTGGTTGATTTTCCAAAAGGAGCTTCAGGTTAGTTCTCTAGACTTCGAGTGAGACGTGAGGCTTCGTTTGGTGAAGAATCTATTTGTTTTCTTTGCTGTTCAAGCTTCTCTCAAAAGTCCTCAGTCTGTCCAGCTTTCATATTCATAACCACAGAACCACAGCCTGGCCAGTTCTGATCTTTCTTTGTATACTCCTTTAAAAATGGTTCTTCAAGGGCTTTTCAGTAAAGTCAGTGATTCTATATAGAACCATGAACACGCAAACAACCATTTGCATTTACATTTTGACAGTGTTCTTCAGATTGATGGAGAAGGTTTTATTTACACCGATCAGGCGTAACACCTCCTTGTTTCTCTGCTCATTGTCCATTTTATCAGCTCCACTTACTATATAGGTGCACTTTGTAGTTCTACAGTTACAGACTGTAGTCCATCTGTTTCTCTGATACTTTGTTAGCCCCCTTTTACCCTGTTCTTCAGTGGTCAGGACCCCATGGACCCTCACAGAGCAGGTACTGTTCGGGTGGTGGATCATTCTCAGCACTGCAGTAACACTGACATGGTGGTGGTGTGTTATTGTGTGTTGCGCTGGTCTGAGTGGATCAGACACAGCAGTGCTGCTGGAGTTTTAAACACCTCAGTGTCGCTGCTGGACTGAGAATAGTCCACCAACCAAAAATATCCAGCCAACAGTGTCCTGTGGGCAGCGTCCTGTGACCACTGATGAAGGACTAGAGGATGACCAACACAAACTGTGCAGCAGCAGATGAGCTATCGCCTCTGACTTTACATCTACAAGGTGGACTGACAAGGTAGGAGTGTCTAATACAGTGGACAGTGAGTGGACACAGTGTTTAAAAACTCCAGCACCACCCAAATAGTACCTGCTCTGTGAGGGTCCATGGGGGTCCTGACCACTGAAGAACAGGGTAAAAGGGGGCTAACAAAGTATCAGAGAAACAGATGGACTACAGTCTGTAACTGTAGAACTACAAAGTGCACCTATATAGTAAGTGGAGCTGATAAAATGGACAATGAGCGTAGAAACAAGGAGGTGGTCATAATGTTATGCCTGATCGGTGTATATACAAGCTTGAAATCATAACAATATCAGAACCCTTTTTGGTGCTGTATAGAACCCTTATCAAAAAGATTCTATATAGAATCAAATACAGCACGCTCTTCGTCGATCTAAAAAACGGTTTCACCATGCAAAGAACCCTTTAAGCATTACATGGTTCGATATAGAACTCTGATTCTAAACAGAACAGTTCCCTTTACTAAAGTACCGTTGAAGAACCTTCTTTAAGAGTGCAGAAAAATGCGTTAACAGCATTTAAAAACTAGTTGCAATATTTAGGGCTGGGCGATATGGCAAAAATATAACATCATGATACGTCAAGACATTTTCAGGATACATAATATTTATTATAATATTTAGTTTTTCTGAGATTTAATAAGTTGGAACAGACAAAATAGAACCTGTAGTAACACACTTAGAACATAATAATAATAATAATAATAATACACTTACAACTACCGTGATGTTTTACAAAGTGCACCAATAAACAGGCCTAATTATACGCACTTCATAATGACACAAGCAGTCAGTCAGTCTTCTTTAAGCACTGACAATATCCATGATATACACTGTCCTGAGCATCGTCACATCTTTTATTGTGATAACGATAAAATATCGTCATATTGTCCACCCCAGCATTAATAATTTATTGTGTTAACACGTTATTAACATGTCAACTTCATCGCTACTATATAAAATGTGTAAAAATATTGTGGCAATATATAGATATAAATGGTTGCGCCATCAGAAATATACATTATCATCATGCAAATTGCCACTAATCACTCCTAAATTTATCGGGCAGGTAAATTTTAATCGAGTGTAATTGAGCAATTATAACAGCCCTATTTTTTATGCCACAAACATTGACCTTCTCTATGTAACGTCAATGTCCATAACTAATTGCTATGAATTCTCGCCTCTAGAGGGCAAAGTTCAGTCCCTGTAAGTTCTTGTTATGACTAATTATCTGAAATGTCTGCTTGTTTAAGAATTTCTCTGCTCGTCTTGTTCTCAGGGTTTGACTGGCCCGGTGGGAGACGCAGGTCCGGATGGCCCCCCTGGACCGAAGGTGACTGGCTAATGGACTCTCAGCGTGGACGGCAGCCAAAGTGTTGCCGGTTGCTCGGCATTGCAGTGGGAATTACTGCGCAAAGCAATTCCTCATGACAAATAAGCCTTAATCCTGTCAGTATTCCCTCTAATCTGCGTGGGTAAAACAAGGCCTCAGCACCGGGTCCTGTTAAACTCACGACACCGCTGTGCTTCAGAGGCTCTAGATTAACTTTTGAGGCAATTATTTCCTGTCTTAGGCGAAAAGATTGTTCACATGGCTGATACTGAAAGTTCAAGATGATAACCTGTTTATTCCTTTATTGCTTACAGTTCTTGCAGTTATTATTGTTGTGTTGTGTTTTAGGGAGAACCTGGTAAACCTGGACCTCGTGGAGAAGCTGTAAGTATGAACCTGTCTTCTTCTGAAACGACTGCTGGATAAAAATACTGTAAAATTTACAACTTAATCTGTGAGTAAAGCACAGTAGTGAACTGAAAAGGCAGTTTTTACAGTATTGAAGTCTCAGTGACGATTGTAAACACAGTACGTTTTATAGCTTATTTCTTATTCCAGTCGTTGAAGGAACAGACTGTTAATTATAGAGCTGTTAAGAATGAACATCAACTTCTACAGTTAATAGCAAAGTGTAATAACAGAATGATTTAAGGCCACTATCTTATAGGACTATCAGCAGCGACAAACTAATACTGGAGTAAAGTTATTAAAGAGTGATTGCACCACAACAAACATTCAAAAATAATATTAGGGACATTCTCCATTTGGAGTGAGAATTCAGGAAAACATCAATTTCTTTCATCCCAAAACTGAGTCATCTTAATGTGTCCATTAACATCTCCTGTTATCATATATGCAAAGAGGAGAGCTTAATTCCAAACATATGTTACACTGGTGTTGTATGAATATGGAGTAACACCAGTGACTGTGACTCCAGTGACATTCTGGTTAAAACTGAGGATTCTGTAAACTGGCTGACTCACTGGGCATCACATGAGCTTGTGTAACTAATTAAAAGTAATAAAAATGATATTTGACATTATTTTGACAACATTTTAATCACCCAGCCATTAAAGCACAAAACACCAGTGACACATAGAAGTTCTGGGCTGCCTGATGAACAAAATTATTAATAAATTAATGAAATATAGTGAGCGAGTGTGACTCGCCTTCCCATGCCTTGAGACGCTTCCTCTCTGATGAGCCTCGACCCAAAGAAGCAGTTTAATAGAGCTGAAAATACTGTGTTAAAATGTAATACAAGAGTCCTGATAACAGCAGTGACCAAAACCTCTGTGACAGATGAATTATTTAAATAAAATACATACTTTTTAAATGTAGCATAACGTTAATGATATAAAAAGTAAACATAAATCTGTTTCATACAAATTTCTAAGTTAAACCTCTTAAAAATATTGTTTTATATTAAAAATGGTTTGAAAATTGTTTTTGTGATGAGCTGTTTTACAGATGCAGGGCGACTATGAAACAGGATAAAAAAAGAAAAATCAGGGAAATCATAAGGAAAAAGTGTTATTTAGTCTTAGTTCAACTGTGTAAATGTACAAACTGACTTTTGGAGCTGTGCCTGATATTTTAAGCATCTTTTTAAGCCTTTGTGGGTCATTCTCCACATGTAGAATGACCCGTATGTATTAAAGCTGAAGTAAAAGTCAGACACCACTCATGATGTGATGTGTTCAACATGTGGAAAAATGTGACATCTAGTGGTAGAACTGTGCTATTGCAGTCTTATTTTGAACAAGCAGAACTTTGATACATATTACTTCAGTACTGAGTTTATATATAAAGAACAGGCTTTTTAAATTCATCCTCTTTCTCTTCTGTGTAGGGTGTTGGACCTGATGGACCTCTTGTAAGTTCTTCCTGCTTCCTGCCTCAAACTAATACAAAGCCATCTGCCACAAAACATGGATGAATGAACTCGACCAGTATTTTCAACATCTTATATCTCTCTTTGTTTGAGCAGGGACCACCTGGGCCTGGTGGACTTCCGGGCCCACTTGGTAAAGTTGGTCCCCCTGTAAGTATCTGATTTACTCTTTTTTTTTAAAGCTACAAATGCTGATCACTCATACTTAATCAGTGTAGATTAAACCAGCGTACAACATCACGTTTTTCCCAAATTGGGCAAATTGACCCAAAGTATACTTTCCTAAAAATAGTTAAAATCGTCCCAAACAAAATTTTGCCTACACTTTTAAAAAAGATGGTGCTCCAAAGGTTCTTTAGTCAAGAAAAGTGTTCTATATAGAACTATGAACACTCAAAGAATGCCTTTGCATGAGTAAAGGGTTCTTTGCATCATGAAAGTGTTCTTCAGATTGATGGAAAATGTGCATGCTCTAGTTCTATATAGAACCTTTTTAAAAATGGTTCTATTTAGCACCCAAAAGGGTTCTTCTGTTGTTATAAGCTTCACACCATAACAACAGAAGAACCATTTTGGTGCTACATAGAACCGTTTTTAAAAAGGTTCTATATAGAACCATCTATAGCACGGCTCTCCATCAGTCTGAAGAACGCTTTCATGATGCAAAGAACCCTTTACTCATGCAAAGGGTTCTTTGAGTGTTCATGGTTGTATATAGAACCATTTTCTTCTCTAAAGAACCCTGGACGAACCATCTTTTGTAAGAGTGTAAATGTTGAAACATTGAGGATTTGATTGCATTCAGCCACAAGAGCATTAGTGAGGTCAGGTACTGATGTTGGATGGTCAGTTCTGGATCTCCCAACTCATCCCAAAGGTATTGGAGCTCCATCACTCCAGAGAACACAGTTCCACTGCTCTACAGCCCAATGCTGGGGGGCTTTATACCCCTCTTGCCTGCGCTTGGCCACAGTGCACGTAGTAATCCGGAACCACTCTGTGGCGCTTAGTTTTCTAACGTAGACGCAAAAAGCTGTTTGCTTGCACTGCATGTCTGATATAAATCTATTTACTGTCTGTTTATTGTTTAATAAACTTCATGTAGACAACATAACAAGAGGAAAACAATAAAAATTTGACTTTGACTTGAGGTAAAACTACATTGGTTAATTTGTTTATTAGCCAAGGCTGCATATTATAGCATTAACACTGCATTTCTTTACTGTTCAGCCTAGAAACTGCCAGCATGCATTAAAAATCACTTGTGGTCGGTGTGAAAGGCTACACTGATTAATATGGGGTGTATTGCGCACAGCACAGCATGGTGCGACACTTTTACCCCGTCTAGTGTGAAATGGGCTTAACTGGTGTGACTGTTCCAGAGAGTCTTGTCCTACTGGAAGTGCTTTTCTATGGAGATTCAAACTGTGCGCAGTCAAACGCTGGGGTCAGTAATACAGCAGGGAGCGCTGTAGCACACAAGTCACCGCAAATATACACCAGTAGCTGAATTCACTGATTAGAAAGGGTGTCTCGATACATTTGGACACGTAGTGTACATTCAAAACACGACATTAGATAAACGAATAGATTATATGAAGGAAAATATGCTGAACACGGCACCACAGTGTACTTACTGCAGCTTTCAATGAGTAACGCACTGCTTAGGCCAGGAATCGCAACCCAAATGTTAAGAAGAGCCATTTTGTCTTTTCAGCAAAAAAACAAACCACTTTGGGAGCCACAACATTTAATGACCGTTTTACTATCTTGGCTGTAAATCTGTCTCAGTATGTGCTGATGTACTAGTAAAGCCTAAAAACATAAATGAAAACGCAGACTTACTTTGCTCTGCTTTAAGCTTTAGCTCAGGTATCGCTCCTTTTCTCGCATCTCCAGCAGGAAACTTTTCCTCAAAAGTAGAACGGGACAATTCAAACACGAAGCTGGCGAAAGAGAAGCGACTTCAGCTCCATGACTTTTTAGTGTTTGTCACGTTCTGGTTGCAGATTAAACGTATCAGGAAACCAGGTGGAGTGATTATAAACACAAATCAGTCCATTCATCTCCAAATTATCGATGTTCGTCTTAAATCTCTCTCTTTGCCGTTTCGTTAGCTACTATCTAGGCGAGACTGTTGTCTGTGTTGCTATGGTGATCAGCAGTCTGCACTGATCTTCAGGGTTAAAGGGTGAATTAGCAGTTCTACATTAACTCCAGAGTTTAAGACCATTTATTGTTAAACTGTGTTGAACGATCAGCAGAGCTTTATTTTACTGTAAAGGAGGATTATTTTACTTTTACCTACAAACCTAATTCTGCTGTGGAGCCGAAACAGGACAGTGAAAGAGCCGCATACGGCTCTGGACTCTACAGACAGAACTCATGGACATTATTCTAGTTATAAAATGCTTGTTTGTCACTTCAGTCTCTGTCTTGCACTCTGAAGATGCACCAAACAGAGCTTGTTTCGACAGTTAAGGTGAAGAATGTAGTTTCAGACTGTGGTAATGAAGCATCTTCAGCTGTTCAGATATTCAGTACATTCCTATGATACTGCAATCTACAGACTACAGTCTACAGATACGTGTAGACAGGCACTGTCATTCTGATTGATCATGAAGGTGACCAGCTGTATTCCTGCCTTATAGGGGGCCATGGGTGTCAGAGGGCCACAGGGACCCCAGGGGCCAGTAGGACCTCGCGTAAGTACATTCATTTACTGTTCCTATACGAACAACTGATCACTCTCCGCCTGCACTCCTAATGTACACTGAGGTGTTGGTTTCTTAGGTACCTACTCTATACAAGATGGTTCTTCAAGGGTTCTTTAGTAAAGAAAATAGTACTATATAGAATCATGAACACTCAAAGAACCCTTGGCATGATTAAATGACTCTTCAGATCGATGGAGAATGTCCTGTAGATGGTTCTATATAGAACCTTTTTGAAAAGGGTTCAATATAGCATCAAACAAGGTTCCACTTTTGTTACAAGCCAAGCCAAAGAACCCTTTTTTGGTACTATATAGAACTCTTTTTATAAGAGTGTACACTCTAAAAATTATGGTTCTTCAAGGGTTCTTTAGTAAAGAAAACGGTTCTACATAGAAAAATGAACACTCAAAGGACTTAAATGTTACTCTGCATGGTGAAGTGTTCTTCAGATTGATGGAGAAAGTGCTGTAGATGGTTCTATATAGAACCTTTTTGAAAAGAGTTCAGTATAGCATCAAAAAAGGCTCCGCTTTTGTTACAAGCCAAAGAATCCTTTTTTTGGTACTATATAGAACTCTCTTTTTGTAAGAGTGTACACAATTATGGTTCTTCAAGGGACGTTTAGTAAAGAAAATGGTTCTATATAGAATCATGAACACTCAAAGAACCCTTGGCATGATTAAATGGCTCTTCAGGTTGATGGAGAATGTGCTGTAGATGGTTTTATATAGAACCTTTTTGAAAAGGGCTCTATTTAGCACCCAAAAAGGGTTCCAACTATTGTTACAAGCCAAGCCAAAGAACTGGTACTATATAGAACTCTTTTTGCTATTAATGCACCCTCCGAAAATAATGGTCCTTCAAGGGTGAAGAAAATTGTTCTGTATGGAGCTATGAACACTCAAAGGACTTAAATGTTACTCTGCATGGTGAAATGGTTTCTCAGATTGATGAAGAAAGTGCTGTAGTTGGTTCTATATTGGCCGGTAATATACGGCCGGGAAACAGCATTAGAAAACGTAAGAAATAATATTAAATAATATGTTTATGTAATATTTTATTCATTTTTACTGTTAAAACACAGTTATAATGGGGTCTTCCTATGATACATTAAATTCCCCGCTGTCTCTACTTGTGTGATAAGCAGTATTTTCTATACAGCTTAAGCGTCCTGGTAGTTAAAAAATGTATGAAACCTCTGCTTTAAGGACAAACTACTGTTTTTAATATGTAAAGTGTGTGCAAACAGCTTTGGAAACCCTTTGCGGTCTGAAGTACCTCCAGCAGGGAGCGCTATTAGCACACAATTTGTCATGAACCCACACCAGAAGGAGCTCACGAATGCCTGTGTGTGCAGTAACGTCTATAAGAACGACAGGTCAGAGTTTTCAAAAGACATTAGGCTGGTCTATATGATATTATTTAACACGTGGTCTCATTAACTGTTATCGGTAAGGCATATCCACTAAAGATAAAATAGAAAGTAGATCAAAGCTGCAGCAGACCTTGTGTATCTGTTTTTCTGGGGGTTGTGGGGGGGCATAATCAATAATTATGATATTTTAACTAGAAAATATTGAGCTAAATAGTTTTAGATATAGCCCAGGCCTAATCTGCACTCACTGACTATTATTTTACCACCAACCCTTTCAGTGCACTTTGTAGGTTTACAATTACTGAGTATATTTAATCTGTTGCTGCACAATTTGTCCACCAAATTTTACCCCACCCATCTATGGAAAGGGACCACCATAGCACCAACACTGACCAGATACTATTTGGGTGACCCACTAACATAGTAGTAGCATGTATGAGGTGAATAGACAAGAATAGTCCCCCATCTAAAAGCGTCCAGCCAACAGTGGTCCTGTGGTCAGGAACTGACCGCTGATGAAGGGCTAGAGGTAGTACTATGTATATATTATGTATATCACTGTTGTCAGAGCAAAACCTCGTATCTCTAAAATGGTAACTTTACAGGAGAAGGAATAAACATACTTTTAATGTAAGTCAATGGAACCAGAATTTTTCCCACATCATTTTGTGTCGTTTCTTTTGGTTCATTCATCATGAAATTTACTCACACAGTGTAAAGAACAACAGGCATTTTCAAATGATGTCGAAACTGTCTTGTTTACTGCATTTAACCTTTTATCTTTTAATTCCCTTTATGTTTTTACCCTCTTCTTACTGCACTTCATCCTTTATGAGCTAATATTTATAACACCCTTTGTCCAAAAGTCCTTTGTATTTTTACTGTTATGTTTTTATTCAACGTCCCATGTGTCAGACACAAGGCCCGCGGGCCGAGTCAGGCCCGTGACACAGTCCTGTTCGGCCCACAAAATTTTTTAATTTTCTATTCCTTTTAGCCCGTTTCACCCCGAAATGCACTACAGTCCTCAGCATGCACTACAACATAGTGTGTGCTCTGATCCCCTCTCCTCTAACAACAATCTGTGGGTCACTGGTTACACAAAAAGAAAAGATAGTCTAGTTCAAGCAAATAGGCAGTTTTAAAAAACTACCTAAAACTGTTTATTTTTATTTCCTAACAAAAACAAACAGAGAGATCAGATCACTCCCGTTTTAATAGAGCTGCACTGGCTGCCTGTATCGTTCAGAATAGATTTTAAAGTTCTGCTACTAGTTTTTAAGGCTCAAAATGACCTTGAAGCACCACTTACATCACAGACTGTCTGTCTGTTTATGATCCAGCATGTAATCTAAGATCTGCAGATACTGACCTTCTACAGACACCCTCTGTAAAATACAGAAGACTCTTTCACTTATTCTGCTTCTAAACTGTGGAACTCAATTCCACCTTTTATTAGACAGTCAAGCTCGGTGCTCACTTTTAAGAAGCATCTAAAAACGTATCTCTTTAAGTTAGCATTTTAATTAAAACGCTGCGTCTCGTGGTTTTTATCTTTTAATTTGATCTTTTTCATTTTCTTCTGATTCTAAATAAATACTAATGATTTCTTGTATAACTATTATATCACCTGTCTGTAAAGCACTTTGAGCTGCCACTGGCATGAAAAGTGCTATATAAATAAAAATAATTTTTATTATTATTATTTAGAATTATTTTTGAGTATTTAGTGCCTATTTTCCTGTTCCAGTTTTGATGTATTTTGAGTAAACAGTGGCCCGTTTAGTGCCAAAATGTTGAGTAAAAAAATGAAATGAACACAGCTGGCCCACAGATTGGCTGAGATTTTTAATATGGCCCTGTTCTACGTTATGTACTTTGTACTTTCTTTTAATTTTGTTTTTGTAAAAGCCTGATCTGAGGTGTCTGATCTCATGATAGAATAGGCAAGAGAAGTTTTTTATTAATGGTATTAAATGGTTTTGTTTTTCTGTGTTTGTGTATAAGGACTTTAAACCGCTGCTGTGTATGAAAGGTGCTATATAAATGAACTTGCCTTGCCTGTGTGTCCTGCTTTTAAAAGAGGGTGTCTGGCCTTCTAGCTCAAAGCAGAATCCACTCAGAACTTCAACCCAGGCTCTCCTCTCCTTCAGTCATTCAGTCTCTTCTCATACTACCACCATTTTTGAGGACATGCTCCAAACTCACAAAGGCACCATTATCACTATCTGTCATGTCACAACTAACATTATACAGAATGTTAACAAACCCACTGGATTGGATGTTGTAATGCCATCATAGCATTGGTGCTGTTCAGCTATCCAGAGTCTAACCCTAAAACATGCTCCTCTTTGGTTCCAGGGTGCTGCAGGAGTGCTGGGTGGAACAATGGAGCTGGTAAAACCCATTTACAGCAGTTTCTACTGTATGAACCTGAATATGTTTCATGTGGCTTCTGATCTGAGTGTTAAACATATTAACGTCTCCCTTCTGTATTTCAGTGCCCCAATGCGTGCCCACCTGGAGCGCCTGGCCATCCTGGACTGCCTGGCATGAAAGTAAGTACGGAACAGGCTCTGTAAAAGCCAGACACAAACTTCTGCAGGCACTTACGCAGAGAAATAGCACGTCTGTTTATGGTCTTCTTTGTTTATTGGACACACTGTCTTTTAATATAATACATAAAATCTTCCATTCAGATTTCTGATGCCGCGACACGACTGTTATTCTGTTTATATATTTTTTCTGCTGGATTTTTCTCCACTGTTTTTGAGATATGGACACTGTTCCAACTCCGGAATGTTGGGTCTGATTAGGAAAGGTGTGCTTTTTATAGAGCTTTTTCATTGGATGTACGGTTTTCGTAGAATTGTTAAATATTTTTTTTTCCCAAAGGAATGAATGGGGTGCAAAAGTTTGTGAACCCAACTTACGTCATGTTGATAAAAGTCCATTAGCAACACCTTAATAACCAAGCGGGGAACCATAGCAACCACCTAGCAACCAGCTGGCATACAATAGCAACCACTTAGCAACACCCTAGCCACTACTTGGCATACTATAGCAGCCACATAGCAACACCCTAGCAACCGCCTAGCAACACCCTAGCAACCACTTGGCTACACTGTATCAACAACTTACCATGCCGTAGTAATAACCTAGCAACACCTTAGCAAGCACTTAGCTACACCCTAGCAACAACTTGGCATACCGTAGCAACCACTTAGCAACACCCTAGCAACCGCCTAGCAACCACTTGACATACAATAGCAACGATCTAGCTACACTGTAGCAACAACTTGGCATGCCATAACAACAACCTAGCAACAACTTGGCATACTGTAGCAGCCACCTAGCAACACCCTAGCAACCACCTAGCTATACCCTAGCAGCATGTATGAGGTGAATAGGAATAACTGAATTTTGGGGGGAGGACCACATCTGAAGCCCCTCATCGTCCCAATTTAAAATCCTATAAAAAAACATTTCCACTTTCTGTTTCCTGTGACAAAGTTTTTACACTCCACCACCACCACTCCTTCTTTTTCTTAAGTTCCGCCTAACAACACCCTAGCAACCACACGGGATACCAAAGCAACCACTTATCAACACCTTTGCTACCACCTGAAACACCATAGTAACTGTTCTGCAGCTGCGCAGTCGCTGCGATTTCCTCAGAAAATGCACTTTTCTAGCTTGTTTTGTAATTGAGTGTAATAATCACGTACCATCTTATTTACCTGTAAGGGTCACAAAGGAGTGAAGGGGGAGGCTGGAGAACCCGGTAAACAGGGACACAAGGTAAGACATCACCAGCCTTTTTAAAACGAGTTAAAGCAACTGTCTGTAGCCCAAAAAACTGATACTATCAATAACACGAGTGGTTCACCTGCGAAAACTATGTAGCAATAAAAATCAGATATAAACATAAAGGTTAAGGCTTCAACCTTTAGAATCGCTAACAAAGGGTAAGTTGTAATGATCGTCTTTAATGTTTATAGATTTTTTTCCCCTGATTGTGATCATTTGGAGATGATCATTAATTTAGACGAAAAAAAAACAATCAGCTTGTTTGCACTACAGCTAAAGACAAGTTTCTGGAACATTTTTAGTTTATCTGATTAAATCACCACCTGAATCTACAGCTCATATCGCTCAGTCTAAAAGCTGCACTTTCTCTAAAATTGTGTAAAATTGAGTCTGATTTTTTTCAGTGAAGGTCACAAAACATTCTACCACTACATCAAGAAAAAACTGAAATGCTGATCCTCTGGGCTAAAATTCAGAGGAAGCTCGGCTTTTTTGCTTCGTACACAAAACCTCACTCTAAAAAAAGACGGTTCTTCAAGGGTTCTTTAGTAAAGACAGTGGTTCTATATAGAACCATGAACACTCAAATAACTATTTGCATACTTACGTTGTTCTGTGCATGGTAAAATGGTTCTTCAGATGGAGAATGTGTTTTATATGGTTCTGTATAGTACCTTTTTGAAAATGGTTCCATATAGCACCAAAAAGGGTTCTTCTATTGTTAAAATGCCAAGCTTGCAACAATAGAAGAACCCTTTTTTGGTGTTATATAGAACTGTACACAACACATTCTCCATCAATCTGAAGAACCGTTTAATCGTGCAAAAGGTTCTTTGAATGTTCATGGTTCTATATAGATCCATTCTTTTTACTAAAGAACCCTTAAAGAACCATATTTTTAAAAGAAAGATGAAGTAGGAAACCTGGGTGTGATCTTCGACTCTGAGCTCTGTCATATATAGATACATAGATAGACAGACAGATAGATGGACAGATAGACGGACAGACAGGTGGATAGACAGATAGATATAACTTAATGATTCTGAAGGGAAATTGCATTGTTACAGTAGCAACACATATAATTGCACATAAACTTACATATATCATGCAGAAATAAACATAGAAATAAAAATAGACATAAATTAGGCAGAAATAAAAAAATAGACATAGGTCAAAGTATTAGAGTAGAAATAGAAGTATATCTATTTGCATATTTACATCCGCATATAAGACAGATTTGTTGTATTTACCTGAAAGCAGGTGTTGCACTAAGTGGTATGAGGTAGTTACAGCACAGTGAGTATAAACATGACTAGGAGCAGCAGCAGTGTTTACGGTCTAAAGTGCACAGTGAGAGTCATTACAGCAGTGGTTATGATACAAGAATCTATTTGTATGATTCTTATTATTTACTGTTTACTGAAAACAATAAATAAGTGTGCTATATTTCAAGATATTACTTATTATTACCATCTGGCTTGAAGCCAGTCTCTTTGTAGACAGTCTTTTGTGTATATCTTTTGCATATAGTATTCTATATTACGCCTTAAAAATTAAGGCCCAGTCCCATTTCTTCTTTTTACTACTACCCCTAGTTTTCGAGTTCCAGGGTAGTGGTTGAAATCGTCCCTCTGAAATGGGACCCTCAAATAAAAAGAGCATCACTTCATTAACAGCTACCAGCGCTGCTCTGTAGGCGACCCTGCCAGTCTGCAGTGACAGCAGAGGAGGGTAAAGTTCAGCTCCTCACTGCTGGGCTTTAGTTACATTTAGGGAATCATATGACTTCAAAGAGGGGGGCAATTATTTATTATCACCCACCCCTAATTCTTCAGTGATATGAAGCTGAAGTCAGATATTCACCAGCTTCTTGTTTGAATTTTCCAGTTCCACCTTAAATGGTGCAGCAGTTACATTCTGGCGCTTCAGGCGTCAGAACTGCTGGACTATTTAAGGTGGAACGGGAAAGTTAGCTAGCTAGCTATTAGCATGCTGCTTGTGATTTTTTATGCTTGTTATGAAGAAAACGACATAATACACTGAAACAACATTAAACTAAGATAATACGATGGTTATTGTCATTTTTTAACAGAAAATTCTCACATTTGTGGGTTTCTATGGTCTCTTGTTCAGCCATTTTGCCGGTTTTTCTTTTTTTCTCATAACTCTCTGTTTGGAGTCTCTGAAAAACCTCTGTTTGGAGGGTCATGTAGCCCCAACACTTCACCCTCCCCCTCTATCTCTACAAGAATCAGGACACTCTACACCTAGACGAGAACGCACAAAACAGAGGGCTAAGGGCTGAGTGGTAGGGGCGAGGGGTGAAATGGGACTGGGCCTAAGTCAGCAATTCTCAAGTCATTCTTTTCCTGTTCCTTCAGTGAGCTATGCAGTCTGACAAATTTTGGGACCAGCATTGAACTAATAGAATGCAATCAACAAAAAACACATTATAGATTCTTGTTGAATAAAAGGTCTAATCAGGCCTTTTTAGCCTGGAACTGCTTTTAGCTTCAGACTGTTCATGCAGAATTGTATATATTGTGTGTATTGTACCATTTATTTAGGTTCTCACTACAGCCCAATATGATTACTTTTTTTGGTGTCATTGTAAACAATAGCATTTCATTTATTAAATCTTTGAACCTTATTAATCAGTAATCTGAAAGCTTATTATTCAATTATTCAGCAACTGCTATTATGACAGTGAGGAAGTGTGAGGGGCTTTCCACGATATAGGATACTTATTACGATATTTGGAATTAGACATGATGCATTTAGTAGTGCCGTATTAAAAAGCTCCCATTAAAAACTATGAATACAGTTATTACCAAATATTTCACATACTGTACTGCACAAAATCCAATTCAACATGACTAATTATGCTCCCTTTGTAATGAAACAGACAGTTGGTCGTGATATTCACGATGCCCTCGGAAAAGCATGTGGTTTATCACAACAAAATATATCACAATAATGACTATCTGGACTCCACATTGTGTTCAGTGTATAAAGAGTGGGTCACGTCCAGCTGCAGTGCTGGACAATGTATTTGTACCTGCCATGTACCTTTATTAAGTACCTGTCAAGCACCTTCTGTAATGGTGTGGCAGTTTACATTCTCATTCTCAGCTCTTGATCACAGACGGCACAACTGGGCTGAGTTAGATTTGAGATCCGGTCATGAACACCACTGTTTTTAGCTGCACCCTTAATTTTTTAGGAGGCCTGTCGAGTGGAACCAGTTGCCTGTTGTGCCCTTGTGTACAAAACTTTGAAAAATAAACCTGCCTGTGTAGATATGAACGGGTGTTTATTGGAAATGATTATTGGAGTCGTTTCCAATAACTGTTGGAAATTAAAGCCACTCTAGTGAAATGGAAATCGACTCAGATATTTTTAATGAATACAATAAAATGATTTTTTTCCCCGTAACTGTTATCAGATGAATTAGGACGCTGCTGAGTCTGTTGGGTGTGTGTAAAATGTAATGTCTATGTTGGGCTGCTAGCGAGCAATGATGGGCAAAAGAGGAGGGCGGAGACCTCTTCGCTGTGAAAAATAACTCACACCTCTGCACAAGATCTTCCATGCTAAGATAAAACGGCCTGTTTTTAGGGACCACCAAAAAAGAAACTGCATTTTATGTCTACGGTGAAAAGGGGTTAACCAACAGTATCGGTCTAACAATTGTTGATTTGTTGGTTAACGACTGATAAGCGATATATTGTGCAGCCTTAAATGTGCATTACAGCCACGTCTCATTCTGTTACACTCTTGTCATTTATGAATATGATTAAATAACCTTTCCTCCATGTGTCAGGGAGAGGAGGGAGATCAGGGAGCCCCAGGAGAGGTTGGATCCCAAGGCCCGACTGTGAGTGTTTCACCCTCTGTACTGCATCTTCGGCCTGACTAAGGCTGAAAGACAGAAAATTAATAGCTCCTTTTTGTCTGATCAGGGTCCGCAGGGAATCCGAGGGGCTACAGGGATGATGGGTGCCAAAGGAGAGATGGCAAGTTAAGATTTCATAAGATTATTGATGGTGCCCCCCATGGGAGACACACTGTTTTGGTAATAAAAGTATAAAACAGTGAATCGCTCTGGTTTTCTTGCAGGGACCTCGAGGCAACGATGGAGATCCAGGTCCTCAGGGAGTTGCAGGTGCCACTGTAAGTTCTGTTGTCACAAGGGCTTCACTCTTGGTTATAGTAGTAGTTGAGTAATCTGTCTGTTGTTTTGACAAGTGACAGAGTAATAGGTTTAAACCATGCACAGTGTTTCAAAGAGAACAAAAACACTTCAGTGGAAAAAGTTAAGCTAGGAAGCCTCACTATTTGGGTTCTGTTGGAGAAACATAGCAGCTGGTGGGAGGGGGTCAACTGTCCCTGTCATTACTATAATAATAATAATAATAATAATAATAATAATAATATTACATTATTATAATCTGAAATTCAGAGGCAGTTTGAGATATGTTGTATATTAATTAATGCTTTAAACATGAAACTGAAACACAAATTAAACGTAAAAACATTCTTTATGTCATAAAGTGCATATGAATGGGTGTGTTCATCATATGTTTATGCGTCAGATATGCTTATCTGGATATACACTATGTGGCCAAAAGTATGTGGACACGCCTCCTAATTATTGCGTTCAGGAGTTTTATGCCACACCCGTTACAGAATGGGTTGTACTGAAGAGCTCTTACTTAGGAGAGATTTTAAAGCTCCGCTGCTGGTTTTTAAAGCTCCTGATTCTGACCTTCTGAACACCTTCAGTAAAATACAGAAAACGTGGAGAGACTCTTTCAGTTATTCTGCTTCTAAACTGTGGAGCTCAGTTCACCTTTTATTAGACAGTCGAGCTCAGAGCTCACTTTTGATAAACATCTGAAAACGCAGCTCTTTAACTCAGCGCTTCATTAAAACTCTATCTTTTTAACTTGAGTCATTGTCAATGATTTTGAATTAATACTTACAGCTTCACTTTAAGCTTCCAACACTGTGAAAAAGTGCTCTATAAATAAAGATATTATTTTTATTGTTATTATTATCATTACTAGTGTTACTTAAACGTGGCACCGTCATGCCACCTTTGCCACAAGTCAGTTTGTGGAATTTTCTGCTAGATCTGCCCCAGACAACTGTAAGTGTTATTACTGTGAAATGGAACCGTCTAGGAGTTACAACGGGTGGGGCAACACCACCTTAATGCCCATAGTTAGGATTGGGATGTCCTACAACTCATAGTTGTGATGGTCAGGAGTTCACATACCTTTAGCTACAGAGTGTATGTGTTTAACCCCAGGATTATTACATACTGAGGCTTATTATTCAGTAACTACAAGACACAATTCAAACAAATGGAGCTTTTCTTAGGTTATAAAACTCGGGCAAGGGGTCATATAATCATAAAAATTGAAACGTTAAACCTGAGCGATTTACTATAGGTTGAAACGTGTGCTGTTTCGTTCTTGCAGGGTGACCGTGGCCAGAGGGGCCTGATGGGAGAGACGGGCCCCAGGGGTGAACAAGTATGTATGACTGAGAGCGCTACTGTTATTCTGTTCATTTCAAACACCGTAATGCACCCAATGTAGATCCATTACAAGTGAAAGCGTTTCACAGATGGATTACTGAAGTAGCTGATGTGATGTCCGTCACTGTACTGTAGTAGAGAGATAATGTATGCGAAGCTGGGATTGTGAACGAAAATTTCTGTTTTCAGGGATCCCAAGGACCGAGAGGCAACACCGGTCTTCCAGGGCCGAAAGGAGAGGGAGTGAGTACATGTCAGCGCGTCGGACTGAGCACAGTGAACCTTGAACTGTCCCAGTTAAAAAGCAGATGGTTCCACGTCCAAAATCTGATTGGTTTAGGCCTGTTGTATTGAGCCACTCTTAAAAACTCAACATGCGCACATAGAGTACCATGTAAATTTGTTTATGTGGGCAGTAAGAATTTATTTGTTCAGAAAAAAACCCACAATATATATAATTAAACAACACATTGTAGTTTTATATGTGTTAGTGTGTCATTTCCAGACCTCTCCTTGAGGATTGACCGTTACCGTCCAGCGTCCAGCTGATGGAACATCCATTTAATGACAGAATTAAGAAAAGAAAACCAAGCCTTATTAAAAAATAAAAATCTTGTTTGTATTTATTGTAATGTTATATATTGTTTTAACTGGAAAAGAAACAAACTTAATGCCAAGATAAATAGTTAGTAGCCCAAGACTTTCGCACAGTACTGTGTGACTACTACCATCAGTTGAATTCTGTATTGATACAGTTATTACAATCAGTTGACCTGTTCTTAGACTGTTATTTTGCCTGATAACATGCTGTTAAAAATACATTTCTTAGTGGAAAAAACTTATACAGTAACTTATCATACAGTTTTTTATACAGTCAAGGTTGTACATTATAGTGATTTTTATTACTTTGATGCGAAATGCAATCATCATGATTTCTTTCTTATTCTTAGGGTTTGCCGGGTGTAGATGGGCGTGAGGGAATTCCTGGAATGCCTGGATCTAAGGTATAACAATTGGTAATAGGTGTTATCTGAGATATAAAGCATAGCAATTTAAAGCGGCAACCAAGTTATAAATATCATGAAGCTCATTATATGATGACGGCATTCTCTTACAGGGTAGCCCTGGCAAACCTGGAGTTCCTGGGGAGGTCGGACAGCAAGGGCTTCCCGTAAGTTTGACCCACATTCTCTGTCACATACACTCCAGTAAATGTAAAATGCTCAAAAGATGCTTATTTGAAAATCTGGGCGAATGGGGTGATGATTAATGGCCAAATGCGTAACTGTGCACAATATAAAAGTCTCTTTTTATTTTTTTTGTATGCAGCTGTGAAAGTACAAGCCTGAAGTGGCCAAATTAACCGATTAGATCTGTTGCTTCTCACCTGTCTCGAGTACTTGGCTAACGGCCCAAGGTGTAAACTCTGAATACTGAAATTCAGCCATTTATACATTTTTTCACATGGTTATTTCACATGAACAGTCCAAGAAAGCAAAATAAATCAGTGTGGAGTATATAAAACTGTGCATTTATCAAAAAATAGTGATTTTACTGCAGAATATTAAAGTATCTGTCAACCAGATCGTCGGGAAGGTAAATCAAACTGCGTCACAAGTTGATAGACGTTTTAAAGTCAAATTTAAAAACCCAAGACCGCTGGGTTAGGTTCCAGCACCCCCCAGAAGGATAAAGTGGCTTAGAAAATGTGTGTGTGTGTGCGCATGTGTGTGTGTTTATTTGGTTTGTTTTTGTATGCATGCTGTTTTCCTTGTTGAACGTATCTTGTAGTTTTGATTAGTAAGTAGTGGTCGATGTTATTGTGCAGCACTTTGGCCGGCAGTTTTAAATGTGCTATAGAAATAAAGGAGACTTGAATATTAAACACGCTGTAAAGCTGTGAGTCTGAAAAAAGAAGGGCAGAAGACAAAACATATCAGTTCAGAATGTCACAATATTGCACTCATACTAAAAAGAAGTGATTTTACTGCAGTGTTAATAGGAGACCTTGCACATCTAATCTATATTGTGCAGCTGTATTATCAAAAAGTATCAGATCAACTCAGTATCAGAATTGACCTGTGGACTTTGTGGGTGTGTCTCAAAACCTAGTGAGCTCTCTAAGTAGCCGCTGTCTACATAGGCAGCTGTCTAAGTAGGCAGCGTTCCAACCGTCATCTGTCCTTATAAGGCAGATAAATGAGACGCTCTAGTTAGACAGCAGCGACGTCGCCGCTTGTTCTCGCCCACTGCATGAGACCGGCGTTTACTTACCTCAGCCGTCAGAATCACAGTTAGCCCACATGGATCTGCTCTGACAGTTTATATATCGATTTTAACTGTATTTGCTCTGAGTGAAACAGTAAAATAGACAATAGTTGTGGTCAAACGCGGAAAGTATCGGCTATTTGTGCACCTTTATGACTAGAAAACAGATAAAAACCCCAGAAAATCAGAATAACTTACATTTGAAGATGACGTCGCTGCTTGGTGAAGCGCTTCTGCCCGCCATCTTCAAACAAAAGTTGCGCCGCGCTGCATCGTGGGATTGCCTCAGCGGCTGAGGAAACATCCGATGCTCTCTTGATATTGGGCCAAAATGAGACCTCAGTAGGCAGCATATTTGAGATATCTAAGAACTGGGACAACCTTCTTGTCGGGAGCGCATAATGTGACGTAAAATGCTGTCCATGTAGAGCTCCTAGGTTTTGAGACACACCCAATGTGTAAAAGGACCTGAATCAGATTGAGGGGCAAAGAAACTGACTAAAGATAGGCTGAAGAGTCACTGTGTATTAAACTACTGAAGAATAGTCCAGAAACCAAAAATTCCAAAAAAACAACAACCAAAAAGGACTAGAATGTGGCAAAACAAGTAAAGTCAAACTCTGCAAAGACTGCAATCGCAAAGTATATATCCACGTAGTTCTGCTGTGGAAATTCATTTTTGCTTTGTTGAGATCTCAAAAAGTATTAAAAAGCATTTTTATTGTAATTTTATGCAGTAACCGTGTAATTTAAAGCTGCACTATGTAAGATTTTTTGTTCAAATTAAAAGAAGTAGCATTGCTGAGTGGGGAGAATTAAAACAGGCTAAAATATGGTGACAGCGCGCAGCTGAGAGTCGCTCTGTAAAGCAAAACGTTCTTCCGCACGTTGTGTGCAGTTACGCATTTCCACCAGAGAGGTCCCCAAATCCTCAAAAACTTAACCACGTTTTGCAACATTGTCACCAACAAAATATACCAAAGCAACAAAAACACCTAAAAAAGTAAGCAAAATGTAGAAAGGGGTGATTGCTCCCCAGATATTTCATTTATGGCCAGATGGAAGCTACCAACGTGATCGTAAAGTTGTGGTGCTGTCAAATGTGTGCGAGAACTTTTAAAAAGTTACAATGATAAAAACAGTGAATACGCCATAATTGATGAGGAGGAAATTTCTATAATGTATATCTGAAAATTTATGTGTAAATGCTTCAGAATTTATACTGGGTCAAAACTAGTTTGCATATATTTTTGCACGGAAAAATAGTGTTAATAGTTCCTTTAACCAACAATTAATGCTGTTTGGACTGTCCTGTCTTTAAGTAACCAAACAGATCTGCGTTTGATTATTAGAGCTTGAAGAATTTCAGCATTTTGAATAAAATGTGGTAGTGTGTAGGAAAATAGTGTGTGAGTTTACCTGGTTTGTTAAGTAGCTGTTGAATGTAAATATGCCTGTGTGTGTATTAGGGGTGGGGGGAAAAACGACTCTTGGATGCATCGCGATGCGGACGTAGATGATTCTGAATCTATTCACAAATGTCAAAAATCGATTTTCTAAACATGAATTGAATCGCAATGTTGACGGAACGCAAAAGGCGGACCTTTGTAAAGTGTGGGCGTGCAGCGCCGAGACAGTCTGTGGGGACACACTACATTAAAAGCTAGTGCAGGGGTCGCAACCCAAATGTTAATGAGTCATTTTGTTCTTTCAACAAAAATCAATCCACCTTGGGAGCTGCAACATTCTGAGTCCATTTTATCTTGGCTGGAAAATTGTGTCTCAGTATTTGTTAATTTGCTAGTAAAGGCTAAAAATATAATACAAATGAAAACACAGACTCACTTTGCTTTAATCTTTAGCTCAGCTGTAGCCGCTTTTCTCGCATCTCCAGCAGGAAACTTTTCCTCAAAAGTAGAACAGTTTCTTCTAAAATGTCTCTCAGTGTTCGACTTTTTACGAGGCTGAAGTCAGTTTCTTGTTCGAATTTTCCCGTTCCACCTTAAATGGTGCCTGAGGCACCAGAATGTAACTGCTGCACCATTTAAGGTGGAACGGGAGAATACGAACGAGAAACTGACTTAAGTCTCACATGGTTTTTTAGTGTTTGTCAGTTTCTTGTTGTAGATTAAACGTATCAGGAAACCAGCTGGAGTGATTATAAACACAAATCAGTCCATTCGTCTCCAAATCACTGATGTTTGTCTTAAAACTCACTCTTTGCCGTTTCGTTAGCTACTAGTTAGGTGGACTAGCAGGTAGAGGCTACATTAACTCCAGCGTTTAAGACCATTTATTGTTAAACTGTGTTGAACGATCAGCAGAGCTTTATTTTACTGTAAAGGAGGATTATTTTATTATTACCTACTAATCTGATTCTGCTGTGGAGCCACAACAGGGTAGTAAAAGAGCCGCAGGTTGCCGACCCCTGGTCTAGCGTATGGAGTTTCTATGGGAGAAAACCATATTACGTTTCCACTTGTTTTCTGCCCGGTTGTAGTTGCTGCCAACCAGAGGACCATCGATCAAGTGAACTACAAACTCTGTCGCAACTTTTGTTGCCAAGGATTTGTGTCCGTACTCAGTTGTTGAGAACCAGGGCTTTTGCGCTTTGTTGCACACTTTGGAGCCGAGATACAGCGTCCCTTTTTAGAGAGATTTTACTGACACAGCGACCCCCCCCAGCTCTCTACAACCAGACCAAAACCGAAGTTATGAAATCACTAAAGAAAACAGGTAGAATAGCTGTAACGTGCTGCGTGGACACCCACAGCCACTGGATCTTATGTCACCGTAACTGCATTTTATCACAGATGAGTGGCAGCAGCGTCTCGTGCTCCAAACAAGAGCAGTGAATGAGAGTCTTCCAGTTCACTTGCCACATCACTTCCATTTGATTTATTAATAAAAGATATTGAAGTAAATTCATTATGGATCATTACAAATACTTTGCTTTAAATAATCGATAACCGTTTTATATTCGCATTGCGGCCTCTGAATCGTAATCTAATCGAATCGTGAGGTGCCTAGAGATTCCCACCCCTAGTGTGCATACAGGTAGGCTTAAGGTTCTCACAGAAGGACACAGAGTGCGTAACATGCCAAGCGAAATTCTGATCATACGTTGGTTCTTGTTTTTAGATCTGGCAGAATAACGAGTATTTCTGTACTGTATTCCTGACATTCTTATCTGTGGTTTTGCAGGGTTTACCTGGCGTTCCAGGGCCGAAGGGAGCTAGTGGTGTGAAGGTGAGTGACGCAGACCATCAGCAACCAGTTATGTTCCACTCAGGGCCCAGTAGAGTGCTACGCAGTCAGTTTTAGTGGAAATAGGCATCACTGGTGGCCGTTTCAACGTCATTTTTGTTATGAATATGGAGGAGCCACATTGAAAACATCTGTGGCAGCTTCTTATTGTTTGAGAAGTATTTTCAGGGATGTGTCTTATTTTAAGCATTGCAGTATTGATTAAAGTTTTAAGATGTTACTGTTTATTTTAAAGCAAAGTTCACAAGAAACTTTGTACCTTGTATTAACTTTAGACTTAGATGATCCTTAAAACAAGATTCATATATTAGTTCTTGCTAAAAAAAAATGATTTTAGGATAATAAGATTATTTACAGGACAAGATGCATCTTTTTTAAGAGATAAAGTAAAATTTTCTCACTATTTTGACAGATAATTTTGCTTAAAACTTTTTTTTCTTTCTTTAAACACTGATTTTTCGATTGTTGACAGAGTATCACCGAAGCTTGATGTTTACAGACTCTCTGGAATCAGTCTAAATCTCAGATTTTATGAAGTTTGCAATCGGCAGATCTAGAAATACTGACCATATCTGTGACATGCTGAGAAAATAATGTTGTGACGTAGTTTATCGCGCTAAAGATGATGCATCATCGTATCACCCAACCCTGGTAGCTAGTTTCACTTGTTTTGTTCTAATTTCAGGGTAATGCTGGACAGCCAGGCCTCATTGGAACTATGGGCTCTGCTGGGAGACAGGTGAGTTGGTAATAACCTGCCTGATAACAGAGCATTAAAAGGCAGAACATTGAGATCATCTGACTCACGGTTCATGTTTCTAACCAGGGAGAACGTGGAGAACAGGGAGAAGTTGGACCTGCTGGACCTATTGGTGGACCAGTGAGTGATTACTTTCTTTACAATATCTACTTTATGGATCTGGTATTAACACCTATGATTTGGGAATATTTTGGCCGTTTTTGAAGACTTTTGATTTTGCCTTTATATACCTCATAAAAAATAGCAACTTCCAAGTGACGCAACTGTCAGGAAGGCAGGAGTCGCAACCCAAATGCTCAGAAGAGCCATTTTGTTCTTTCAACAAAAATCAAACCACCTTGGGAGCCACAACATTTAATATCCATTTTATCTTGGCTGTAAATATGTCTCAGTGTGTGCTAATGTACTATTATAAGATAAAAATATATAAGAGAAAATATAACTGAAAATACAGACTTTAGCTCAGCTGTAGCTGCTTTTCTCGCATCTCTGGTAGGAAACTTTTCCTCAAAAGTAGAACAGTTTCTTGTAAAATGTCTCTCAACGTTCAACTTTTCACCAGCTTCTTGTTCGAATTTTCCGGTTCCACCTTAAATGGTGCCTGAGGTGCCAGAATGTAGCTGCTGCACCATTTAAGGTGAAGAAAATTCAAACAAGATGCTGGTGAAATATAAGCCGACTTCAATTTCACGACTTTTTAGTGTTTGTCAGTTTCTCACTGCAGATTAAACGTATCAGGAAACCAGCTGGAGTGATTATAAACACAGATAAGCCCATTCGTCTCCAAATTATTGATGTTCATCCTAAATCCTTCTCTTTGCCGTTTCTTTAGCTACTAGCTAGGCGAGATTGGTGCGTTGCTATGGTGACCAGCAGTCTGCGCTGATCTTCAGGGTTAAAGGGTGAATCAGCAGTTCTACATTAACTCCAGAGTTTAAGACCATTTATTGTTAAACTGTGTTGAACGATCAGCAGAGCTTTATTTTACTGTAAAGGAGGATTATTTTATTTTTACCTACTAATCTAATTCGGCTGTGGAGCCACAACAGGGCAGTAAAAGAGCCATGTGCGGCTCTGGAATCACATGTTGGCAGAAATGCTCAGTGTGACTTTATTTTTATGCTGTGATGTCCTGAACCAAACCCTGTTTGATGATGCCAGCGTGATCGAGAAGGGTTAAAATATTATGTCTGATATTATTGTTTACATGCTTTATCTCTGCTTCTGTTTAGGGAGACAGAGGAGAGCAAGGGCCAACTGGACCTATGGGGAAACCAGGAGCCAGAGTAAGTGCTGTACCTCTCATAGAGTTTGTGTGACACGTTCTACTGCTATCGGTAGTTCTAGTGCGATCGGTCTCATTAGTTGCCTCAGATCTGAATCTTTTTACTGTAGATTTCTATCAGCGAGTCGATGACTTTCCAATAGCATATGAAATTAAATGAATCACCATCTTGGTTATGATGTACTATTCTATTAATCCAGCCGAAGTATCGGATCACTTATGATGGGAACGTAATTTAGATGCTTTAGAAGACCTGTGGGCGACCACGTCAGACTAGAAAGACCTGTTGGGCTTGTGTGTACATTTTTTACCCCTAAAGAGGCATCTGAGCACCCCCCCCATCTGGAACACCACAGAACTGATGCTGGAAAAAACTAAAACGATGGACTAAGTCATTTCCGGCTAACCATTCTTAATATAGAAGCCTACACTGCAAAAAATGCATCTAAGCAAGTGAAAACCTCTTAAATCTTGTCAATACATCTAATATTCCTCATTATGAGATGGCTGTAAAAATATTATAAGATTATTCAACCTGTTTCTGTACATTTTTACTTGTTTTAAGTCATTTTATTTAGTGAAAGAGTTCCAGTTGTACATAATTTTACTTATTTCAAATATTATTTCTTGAAATAAGCAAAATTATCTGAATTATTTCTCAAAACAAGTAAAATTGTGCCACTTTCATGAGGTAGAATGACTTAAAACAAGTAAAAGTGTACGAGCACAGGTTAATAATCTCCTGAAGAAATAGATATATTGACTGGATTTAAGATGTTTTTGTTATTTGTATGTGTGTATTGGCTGGAATGGCTTGTCAATCAAAAAACATTCTTTTCAGATTCACAACTGTTAAGTTTTCCACCACAAAAAAAGTAGAGTTTTGTTTTCATTAAGTCTATAAAAATTGATACGCCAACCAAACTATTTTTGGATGGGCAGATTCATCTAATTGGGTGGATATGGCCCCCCAAGGCCCACCCACAGTGACAGGCCTGAGTCACCTTCCTGCTCAGGGCTTGCTTTACTCATGTATCTATGTTTTGTGTCTAGTGACAGTGAAAAACCTACTCCATAATAGCTACAACTTATTTTAGTCACACATGCTGGTTTGCCTGAGTTTTCTATATGAACTGTAAAGGCAGTAGACCAGAATGAGCCACCAGTATCAAAGGATTATGAATATAAAATCAAGAAAGATGCTGTGAAGAAAACATGATGCAAATCTTTTCTCGTGCTTTGCCGTTTTCTCGACTGGCTGGTCATTTTAAAACAGAAAAAGGAAAGAAATCAGGAAGCCTGACGGATACCTCCGCTAACAATTTATAAAGAACAAATCCTAAAGATCAGGGCCAGAATACTGTGGTGGAATGTGGGAAATGGGAAAATTAACAGGTGGAATGTTTATTGTCCCTGTTTCCAGAAAGCTGAGCCCTTGGTGTGAAATGGTTCAGATGTCTCTACAGTGGTGGTGATAGGAACCAGGGGTCGCCATGACTACAACACAGATATAGACATTTTATTTACTATCCAGAACCACCAGTGAACCTACACGAGTCTTCTGAGTTTATATGGAATGTTGATGATGGAAAATAGTGGAAAATCTGAAATCATCAGTTTTCTTTAGGGACTATTTTGCCTCACAGCGCCCTGCATGTATCCCTCCACCATGAATGGAGTTTAAGGCCAAAATCTTCTCAAAACTACCCAAAAACTATTGCAAAAGGTTGTTGAACCTGCCATTCAGGTTTTATACACTCTACCAAAAAGGGGTCAATGTAGCATTCAGAATCGTTCACAGTGGTGGTGATAGGAACCAGACGTCCACCTCTAAAAGCTCCCTCACAGAAAGTTCCTACATGAAATGGTTATGAATTCACTGCCTGATAACTGAGACACTGTTTTATGATAGTTTTGAGAAGATTTTGGCCTTAAACTCCATTCATGGTGGAGGGATACATGCAGGGCGCTGTGAGGCAAAATAGTCCCTAAAGAAAACTGATGATTTCAGATTTTCCACTATTTTCCATCATCAACATTCCATATAAACTCAGAAGACTCGTGTAGGTTCACTGGTGGTTCTGGATAGTAAATAAAATGTCTATATCTGTGTTGTAGTCATGGCGACCCCTGGTTCCTATCACCACCACTGTAAAGACATCTGAACCATTTCACACCAAACCACTCCAAATCACTCTGTTTACACCTCACACACTCAGTTATGGGGGCATTTTTTTAAAAATCTGTCCTCAAAGTACATGAAAAAGATCAGTCATACCTGCGTGTGAGGGAACCCGAAATGTTCAATTATTAATCCACTCAGTCTGTCTAGAAAAGATGGGATCCAGTTCAACAGCTGGTCTGTTCCGTGCAGAGTCCACCAATGAGGAAGGACGTGCTGACTTTAAATCCATCAGAGGAGTTTCTGTGCATCGGCCAACAAACTGACCCTTCAGTTTAACAGAAATGCAGACAATAATTCAGACACCAAAGATTAAACTGCTGTCTGAAGCTCACAGACGCAAACCAGTTACTCACTTTGAGAACAGAAGTAAACAGCTCCCCAAACAAGAACAAGAAAGATTTGCTCAGACCTGCTTCTTCTGAAGATAGATAACACTCACCTCCAACAACACTGCCCCCTAGTGTCCAGGTAATTAATTACCACTGTGAAAAAGCTGCACTTGTCACAGGTGACGTAGTTTTTTTTTTCGTGCCATTTTGTGAGAGCCTGCATTGTTTTTTTTTGCCAGCGTCTTCATTTAAATTAAAAAAACAAAATTCTTGCAGCCTTAAAGTTCACTGTAGCGAGTCTAGTCACCCAAATATTTATATATATATATATATATATATATGGTATTATACAGGGAGATTTACTAGAAAGAGGCCTGAATATTCTGCAATAACTCTCTCTAGGACGAAGCAATCTGAATGAAACAGTGTACAATGTGCTCCTCAGTATATGGAGCTTCGAACAAGCTGGGATGCCCCTGCGACGTTTAACCTCCATTTGCAGATTCCGGGTGCAGACCCCCGTACCCCTTCACTCAGTCACTCGACGTCTCATCAGGATGGTGGTGTACAGTATTGAGCAGCGTGTCAAGATATGTAGCGTATTTTGTTGGTTCAGATTGCTTCATCCTAACGGGAGTTACATTCGGGGCCTCTTTTGAGTGAACAGGCTCGGCAGACCGTACGCAGAGTGTTTACTGGAAAAAAAGTAATTTCACTTCTCATTACTTTAATTTACATTGCTCTAGGCAAAAGAAAGGATTTTTTTTAGTGACCCATTTTGGAATCACTGTAAGAATATTATAAGATTATTTCAAGAAATTTGTACTTTAAGTAAAATGATCTCACTATTGGCAGAAACTGCCACTCGTTTCAAGCACACTTCTTAAAACAAGCAAAGTGAAGCAAAAAATCTGACAATATATTGAGATAGTTTTAGTTTACTAGTTTACTTAAAGTACAAATTTCTTTAAATAAGTTAAATAATCTTATAATATTCCAAAATGTGTGACTAATTTAAAAATGTGCATTCCTGTCTTTTGCCTGGAGCCTCAGAATCACTAAATCCTCCCCGTTACTGCAGTTCTTCGAGAGCTCAAATCAGATTAAGAGTGAAATGCAGTTTTTTGCATGCATGGTTTAAGTGAGCATAAAGTTTATTATGTAATTGTACAAGGTCTCAGTCTGAACCTCCTCCAGCTGTACAGACAACATCAACACCATAGTCAAACTCATCCCATACTGGATTGAGCATGTCGGGTGTCGCTGCACTCACGGCTCTTTCGGTGCGATTTCGGAGATCATCCAGTGTTGTGGAACCAACGACGAACGCTCTGAGCTGTTGGAGCTTCACTGACCACGGAAATCACACTGCACAGTTATGACGGATTCACTCTTATTGAAGTGGAGAACGCAGAACGCTTTCAGCTCAGGGGTCTCATCTCCCCTCAGACTGAAGGGAGCCATCTTCCACTGACAGTCTCTATGACCCCCTCTCACGGTTGTAGAAATATGGTACTTTGAAATCAGATGAATCTTTTTGAATCACCCTGTGTGTTACTGCAACACAGTTGTGTCCTTCAGTTAATGTACTTTGCTTATTTTTGGCAATGATTGTTCAGCTGAAGTATATTTTATTCAGATGAATGAATCATGCACCTTTAGTAGGCTGTTTTTTCAAGAGGACCAGAATGGAAAGGATGTGAAAGTAAACAGAGAAAAGAGAGAGAGTGAGATGTGCTGATGGCTCAGGGGAGAACGCTAACAGCGGCTGTCTCCGGAGACAGAATTCCTGAATGGGATCCTGCGAGAGAAATGTTTTCACAGTAAGCAGACACTGTCTTAAAGCGCCGTCGTCTCAAAGAGCCCTCTGTTCCCCACACTCACTCACACACAGACGCTCAGGGATCAAAGATGGTGTGCACACACACACACACACACACACACAGACACACACACACACACACACTCACACACACACACACACTCACTCACACACACACACACACACTCACACACACAGACACACACACACAGACACACACACACAGACACACAGACACCAGGACGCGGTGCACACTGCGTTTCCTTCCGACCGTTCTCTCCTCTGAGAATCCTCATTGTAAAGTTGAGTGTCCGACATTTCGTCTTTGCAGCGTTTCTCTCTTCCTTATGAACCCCACATCACCCGAGGTACCGTCAGCGATACGGTTAGAGGCTTCGCCCCCTTTAACACATTAACCCTCTGGGGTCCACAAACTCACCTGTGCATCAGATTTGATGTCTCTATATCTGCGTCTGTATCTTTGTGATGATCCAGCTCAGAAATCCAGTTCAAACTCTTCCTGAATCTGTAGAGTCGCCCTTTCCATTCCATCTTATCTCGAGATCATACGAGACTCACATCTGGAGTTATGAGCCTATGAAGAGGGGCTGAGATACACGTCATCTGCCTCTCACCGTGTCGAACTGGTGGATTCGTGTGTCCGTCTACATTCTGTGTGAAACTGACCAGTGGACACTCAGGGAATCACTAAGGACTGACCATCACGCCGGAAACCCTTCATTCTTCATTCAGTCCACATCGGAGACTCATGTGAAACGGCGTGCAGAGAGTTTACAGCTGCTGAAGCTGCTGCAGCGGGTTTGGAAAGTAGTGATGAAGATAACGGAGCATTTAGATATGAAACATATGAGGATCATGATATATGAAGAGCCTTTAAAGGGGGGTTGAGGAGGTATGAACAAACAGAGAAAATGACCCCAGAGGGGTAATATGTTTCAAAGGAAGCCTGGATTTGTCTGATTTATATTACTGCCATAATACTGATTTCCAAAGGCACCTATGTAGAAACAAACTTGACGCATGGGTGAGTTTGTGTACCCCAGAGGGGTTAAACATTTGCCATGTAACGACACTCACAGCTGGACTTTCTATGACTCTTAGTGTGAGCAAAGTTATCTTTTAAATGACTTTGAGTGGCTCTCAGCCAATCGGATTTTAGAACTGACCCACCAGCCTTAACGAGTACTGACTGCAGACTGCGGGAAGGTGGAGCTGAGCATTGTGGGTTTAAAGAAATGAGCCCATATGGATGAAAAGGCCAAATAGGGACTTTCATTCAGTGTTACCAACTCAACAACTTCATAAAGGAATCACAGACTGGCTGTGTGAATCAGCTCTATCACTGTATAAAAGAAGCACATTATTAAATAGATGCTGCCTTGATTGATGGATGCACAGCCATTGTTTCTGAGTGTGTGTGTGCACACATCGGCCTGATTCATCAAAATTAATGGTCAGATTGATCATAAAATGAGCGCATGCAAATTCCAGTGACATTTGTTTTTAATCAGTTTCATCTGTACAATCAAACTCATGTCTGGTCAGAGTTTAAGTGTAATAATGTAACAACCTGAAAAACATGTTAGATTCACTATTAATTAACCAAAGCTATTTTCATTATCATCTATAATTCGATAATAGGAATAAAAGCCCATACTCTGCAATAATACAGCAATAAAATATATAATTTCAGGAAAATAATCACACAACACAACCACAGTGTATTTATTTAATCACAGTTTAAATATTTTATTTATTTCACATTTTATTCTTTCCAGTGCATGTAATTTAAACTCTATACAGTTAGGTCAGTAGGGGGAGCAGTGCACTCACAGCTCGAGCCTAAACTCCACCCACAGGCATAGCCATTGTCTCATGAGCTGCCGAATGCTGCCGTTTTATTGGCTCTCTACTGAAATGTCTGCTTGAATTAGGACTTGCTCCATGTAAATGATATGTAAATGAGGTGCTGATAGGCTGGCGCTTGATTTCACTGAAGCTGATTCATCATTTGTGCTCAAATCTCCGCTTGTTTACACGGCAATCAATATATTTTACAGCAGCATCGCACTTTCTATACGTCTACAACATGAGCAGAAAATAAGATTTAAATTCAAATCATTACTGAAAGATCAGCATTATTACAAATTATTACAAATAATGACTAAATATTAAATGTAAATTCCTGAATATCTGGTATAAGCAGATATAGGTTTTAGCTCTAAATGTCAGTGTACCACTGCTACAGCACCCCTGTTGGCATGGCGCTAACATAATACTGAAAATTCCATAGGGTGCTTTTTGGAATTTCGCATTATAGGCCCTTTTCACATTCCCGCATGTTTTCTGTTGGAAGTAGTCATTGCAGGGTGACCTTCGACAGCTAAAGCAACAACGATGCTGAATAGAGCAGGTATAGCTCACTTAGGCGTTGCAGTCTGAAGCAAAAACAGCCTCGTCTGAGTTTCAGTGGTTCGTCAGCTGATGATGAGCAGAGGAGAAATGGGTTTGTGTAACTTAACAAAGGAATAAACTGTCATACGCAGTTAAAGACCCTCTGGGTCAGTGTTTCAGCGCTGCTGACCAACGTTAACGTGCAGGTCGTGGTGTAAAGTTGCTGCTTCAGCCGCTTTCAGAGGAACAGTTTTCTATTCCTCCCTCTAAAGCTGTCGGTATCTGAGAGAGCGAGAGCTCAGCGTGGAGCAGGTGTTCGTTCACTGGAGCTGCTCTTTGGGTAAAACGTCTACAGTGGCGCTACAGACCCTGACAACCCAGTGCGCCCCCTGCTGGTGTGTGTGTGTTTAGCTTTTTGCCAACTAGTTTATTGTTATCATCATCTCCAGCTAACATGGCTAATCCAGCGTTTTGGTTATAGTTATTTTTACCTTCATTGACTTATCGCTCTGTGGACGTTAGCTGGTGTTAATGTGCTCCGATAGCTGTGAAGGAATTTTACCACTATCATCATCTTTTATATTCTTTATCCTTTATTGAGTCTAAACTCCCACATTGTTGTGTGTTTGGTTCTCCAGCAGTTCTGGACTCATCCTCAAATTCAAATCTCAGTATCTATGACAGAGATAAAGTGACTCACCTTTCTGTGGTGAACTGAAGTGATACGAACGCCTGTATTTCAGAGGTTAATAACTGTGTAAGACAGCAGCGGAACTTGTTTTACTCAGTGTTAACACACTTCTGTTTCTTGCAGTACTATAAATGCAGGCTTCTTGGGAAGCAGATCAAAACATCTTTGCATTGAACACTGCCATGTAATTTCATGAATCAGATGCAAAGCAGTTCGTACATTATTAACAGTGCACTCTTTTATGCAGCTTTCATTATTGATTATTTTGTCAGAGTAACAGTTAAAGATGATTCCATGCTCATGTTTACTTGCTCAGAATGATATTTTGTGACACCAGCAAACTAAAAATCTACAGTCAGCTTAGAACCTGTTCTTTACAAGTCAGTGTTGCATTAAGGAATCAGTGTTTGCAGTAGAGTCTTGAAAAGCAGGAAAAGACTTTGTTTTTTGGCTTTAAAGATTAAAAAACAACAGGATGTGTTCGCTCTCTGTGCTGTGCGGCTGCTCTAAACTAAACTAAGCCTGAACCCTCTGAGCTGAACCTTCAAATTCCCTTTCAAGCCCAAAAATTCTGCGGCGAGGGGCAGCTATCCAGCACACGCACAGAAATGGAAATTCTGCTTGTCCATCTCATGTGGTATTAATGCTGTTCTCAGGGCCCGAAAGGTGACCTCGGCCTGCCTGGACTTCCTGGACCCCCAGGCGTGCCCGGAGAGAAAGGAGAGCGGGTGAGAAAAACTTCAAAGCAGTCCTACTTGAGAGAGGAACTCATGATTTGACATTAGCTAGAAAAAAAAAAATAAGAGGGATGTAATTTATGATAGCAGCTACATTCACACATTTGGCTCCCAAGGAAGTAGCTGTGGTGATGAGATCAGTGTGATTGTGTTTATAGTTCTACTCCCACTGCTTGTAAACTCTGGAAGAGAAGTAAAAAAAATAAGAGATAAAAAGAAAAGTACAGCATACATGCATTTATTTATTTATACTTTGAATGAAAAGCTCATCCTGTGTCCTTTTCAATGTGAATGAGGTAGTTATGAGGGGAAAAATGCCAAACCATAACTCTGTATCATGTGTATAGTTAATATATGGCCATATGCCAACATGATATGGTCAGATTATGAGTTTTGTTGATTTTGTAGGTGAAAATAAGACCCAATAACATTTTTTTTACTCCTACCCCTTGTATGTCTTGAAACAGAGTTAACAGAGTGGGTAGTGGTTGAACTCTTCCCTCTGAAATGGGACCCTCAAATAAAAAGAGCATCACTTCATTAACAGCTACCAGCGCTGCTCTGTAGGAGACCCTGCCAGTCTGCAGTGACAGCAGAGGAGGGTAAAGTTCAGCTCCTCACTGCTGGGCTTTAGTTACATTTAGGGCATCATATGATCTTCAAAAAGGGGGGCAATTATTTATTATCACCCACCCCTAATTCTTCAGTGATATGAAGCTGAAGTCAGATATTCACCAGATTCTCGTCCAGATTTTCTCGTTCCACCTTAAATGGGGCAGCAGTTCTGATCGGGAAATTTAGCTACCGAGACATCAGCACTACTAGCAATGTTTTATGCTTGTTATGACCATAATATACTGAAACGACATTAAACTAAGATAATACAATGGTTATCATACTCTGTTTGGAGTGTGTCTCTGATGTGGCCCCAACGCTTCACCCTCTCCCTCTGTCTCAACATGATTCGGGACACCTTAACCCTAGACGTGAAAACACAAAACAGAGGGGTAGGGCTGAGTGGTAGGGGCAAGGGGTGAAATGAGATTGGGCCTAAGTACACATCCTCTACAAAGAACGCACTTTTGCACATTTTAATGCTCAGTTACCGTTTATTCGTTAAATGTAACACGCTGGAAAAATAATAAAACATAAAACGTGACCTGTACTAAAGTTATCACATTTTATGTTATGATTTACTTGTTGGCCCAGAATATTGATATATTTAAGTTTGTTCCTCATAGAGGGTTTATTTTCACTTTAAAAATCAACAAAATCATCGTAATTTGCATATGGCTGTAAATGATCTCCTCAAAGCAATGAGTTAGCTGTTTAATGAAAATCAATAAAACTGTATATATTTTTTTAATCAATTTGTCTTCACAGGGTGAGTCTGGAGAACCTGGACCGAAAGGAGAACAGGTGAGACTGATACTAAAACACGTGAAAGCTCAATTACATTCTGAAAATCTGACGTTTTATGACATTTTAGTCATGTTACTGTAAGTTATGGTTCATAAAAGTACATTATAAAGAGGAAAATGTTTCTTTGTGGTGTCACACGTTCTGCTTTAGGGAGATCAAGGCCCAGAGGGAAACCCCGGAGACAAAGGAGACGTCGTAAGTAGCTGTAACGGAAGAATAACGGCTGATAAATTATTACACATTATTACACCAGATTATTCTTTTTAAGTTTAAAAACAACATTAGGCTGCCTTGAGACTTTCTCTCCTTGCAGCTCAGCCTGTGTTTTTTATCAACGCCCCAAAGTGGCCAGTTTTCGGCTCACCGTAATGAAAATACAGCGTTCACAAAAACAGAGCAGCTACTGTGGATTCTAAAAATGTAATAGTGCAAATTCTACTCCTAAACAAGCACAAGTGGCTCTAAACTGTGCTCATCTTACTACAAAGTTCAGAACATTTATTATTATTATTATTATTTTTAACACTTGCAGTCCTGAACTCGCCCTGCGTCCTGTGTCCCTGGTAGTACATGATGTGTTGTGCACTGTAATTATTCATGGATGTGTGCATTTATGAGAAATAACACTATTAATAATCTGAAATCTGTTGTCTCTTGTCATCCTGATTTAGGGTGCTACTGGAGAGCCTGGAGCGAAGGGAGCGGTAAGTTTTGGATGTGTAGTGCATTCATGTCTTTAATGAAGACAGATAAACTGTAGAGGTGCACGATCATGAATTTCTAAGGCGGATTACGATTCTGACTTGTTTACAGCCGAGTTGGTCGATGGCCTTTTTTTAACCCAAAGCTCACACTGTGAGAAGCACACTAGCACATTTCTATTAGCCCCAGTATAAATAACTATTTTATATCCCTAATGGGCCAAACTGGCATTTTAAATTTGTAAATAAAACATCAGTGGCCTATTTAAATAACAGGAATCAAACAAAGTGTGATACCTAATCTAACAGGCTGTTTAGCACAAAAGGTCTGAGGTGTAGGTGTAGCAGCAGCTTTCAATTACACAGTAAACTGGCCCAAGACACTGCAGCACCTGCCGATCAAAATCAATAATTAATAATAAATTACCCAACAGTGATGTAATGTTGATGGACATCCTGAAAGTCCTACGCTTACTGTGTGTCTGTTGACATCAGGTTGGTAACCCAGGAGAACCAGGGAACAGAGGTCCCGAGGGATCGCGTGGACAGCCAGGCATTGAGGGACCCCCGGGCAGTCCTGGACCTCGCGGCATGCAGGGAGACAGAGGCTCTCCAGGCCCTCGCGGATCACAGGGACCGGCGGTGAGTCTGCTGCCTCTTTGAGGAAACTGAAACTCGATTAATAGTCAAAACTCTGCGGTGCTGGTCGGTAACAGTGGACCATTTCACATGTTAGGAATATTCCAGAGTTTTTCAGTCTGATCTGCATCAGTAGCCACTAGGGGGTGCACGACTCAAACTATATTACAAATGTCCCAGTTCTCAATATCCACCAACCCCAACCTGCTGCCACTGCTGTATGGCGTCAAATTCAAAATTTGCAAACAAACAAAACCGCTTGCACGTGAGGAAAACACGCAAAGAGAACTACTCGCACAAGAAAAACACTCTCGCGTCACTCTCTCATCGTGATTACTGAACATTCACAAAGGCAGATCTCAGTAATTACAGGCAGCGTTTCGGCTAACGCCGCTGTACTGGCAGAGTCTGAAGATCATCTTCTAGAGTAAAAGTCCTGTTCCCGGTTTTTTATATGCAGCAAAAGCTCTGACTGACAGACAGCCAATCACAACACAGTTCCTGGTATCAGTAGTAACCAATCATATGTCTGGACCCGCCCACAGCTGTCAAAAGCGAATTAAACTTTTGTGTGAGTAGAAGCTCAATAGCGAACAGAAAGAACAGTCGGGCTAATTTTCCTCGTGCGCGAGAGCTTCTGCTTCCGGGAGGTTTTCCTCAAGCAAGTAGTTCTCTTCTGGCGCAAGTGTGGTTTTCTTGCGCGAGTGGTTCTCTTTGCGAGACCAGTTTTGCTCGCTTGCAAATTTTGAACTGGCTTTGACGTCACACTGCTGCTGGTGCAGCCTGTTGGGCTCTCATTACATTACTGAAAAAAACTAAGTCATTGTCCTGTTTAAAGGCTGTTCACACTGTTCTTTAGTTTTCTTCTCTTGTTACAAATTGTTTTTTCTTATTTACCCCCCATCCAAAACTTATTGATCCGAAAGGCACTTGTAATAGAAGTTGAAGGGCAGACTGTTAAATACAGGGAATCGTGTCATAATTTATTTTATCTGGAGAAATAACACCTACAGTGGGGTCCAAATGTCTGAGACTACTTTAAAATCTGAGATTCTTTTCATTCAAACCTGGAAATAAACAACAGAAAGTTTTAGAATTGTGAAAAACTTAAAACAAAGAAACATCATGAGGAGAAAAATCTACAAGATGCTGCACTGTTTCTCAGTCACTATTAACATTTGAGCATATCTGTGGCATCATTAATGCCGTTATACAGAAAGATCAGATATTTTCTTATTTCTTTAACTAAGATCGTGTTCAGGCGAATCTGAGATGGATCTGATCTGCATCAGATTGTTTTACGTAACGTACTCAAACACACACTGTCATTAAAGCCAAACGGGACACACCACCAAATACTAATAAATTCTGAGATTCATGTAAATATTTTAAAGATTCTACTTTCCACTCAAACTGTTACACTAATAATTTACTTTATAATGAAAAAGTAGCATCTTCAGATAGAAGCATCATTACAGGTGGTCTCAGACTTTTGGACCCCCCCCCTCCTCCCCATTTAACGACTGGAGGAATAATCAGGACAACAATTGCTGGGCATTTCATTTTATGATAGATGGATGGATGGATGGATAGATAGATAGACAGACAGACAAAAAAGCTAGACAGATAGACAGACAAAAAGACAAACAAATAGGCACTCAGATACATAGATATATAGATAGATAGACAGATAGATAAAAAGATAGACAGACAGGCAGATTGCTAGACAAAAAGACAGATAGACACTTACTCAGATAGATAGACAGACAGGCAGATAGACAGACACTCAAGTAGATAGATAAATAGATAGATAGACAACGTTATTGATCTGAAGGAAATTTGCAGTGTTACAGTAATGAGACAGACAACATAAACTTACATAAATTAGGCAGAAATAAAAATTTGATGTAAGTTAGAGTGAAGTTAGAGGGTGAAGTCAGAGAGAGGTGAATTTATGATGGTTTGAATTTCCCACCAGGTGAGGAACAGTGCAGGTTTATTTTCTTTAACCTAAGAATGTCTTTGTTTTATTCTGTATCTGCTGCGTATTAAACCCCATACAGACAGTACTGCATCATCACGTTTCAAAAATTTATTTCATGGCAGTTTATTTGAGTTAACACACCGGGGACCGTTCGAAGTGAAGTAGTTTTTTGTCTCGTCAAAGTTGCCAGTGTGATTTAGTTTCAGACAAAGCCGTCCTGTGTGTTCACAGGGCAAAGAACCGAGTGATCAGCACATCAGACAAGTCTGCATGCGGGTAATGCAGGGTAAGTCTGGCAGCCTTAAAGTTTTTTTCTCATCTGCAGCCAAATAAATAAATGAATAAGTGAATGCATAAATAAATAAATAAATAAATAAATAAAAAGCTAAAATCTATTTTCCTCCTCCTTAATTTGCTGCTGTTTGAAGTCTGGCACAGTCTCACTTGCATATAGACACCCACGACGTCAGAACTCTTCAGGCAGGCAAGCAGATAAGCAGTGACCGGCGCGGGAAGAGACGGCGGGAAATGAAAGAGAGCGAGCTTGACTTTTGTTTGTGTGACGGATGAAAGATTCTGTTTGATTCCACCAAGTCTGATCTTGCCTAAGTTGCCAGCCTTTGCTGTCGCACTCTCTCTCTCCCTCCTTTGCCCTGTCTTTTTCGCCTTTTCTCTTCCTCCTCCCTCCCATCCACCTCCTTCTGCAACTTTCCTCCACTGGCTCATGACTTTTTCATCCGCGTTTCACTGAAAAATTAATTTTCCCATCAGCTGAGCTGCACTTTCTGCTTACAGGGATGAGCTTGACACCTACTCCCCAGCCCGAGTTCCTTCCTCTAAATTCTCAGGCACTCAGTCGAGCGTTCGGTGCGGAAGACCTTCCAAATGGAGGTTAAAACTCGGCGTACCCCGGCGGTGAGCGATCGCTCAGGCCCGAGTATTGGATTCTTTTAAATCGTGAATAATCATTCTATTCCATTCATCCCTTTTATCGTCGGAACAGAGTTCACAAAAAAAAACAGCCGCAGTCTCTTTCTGCCCAATTTACCGCCGCAAATTGAAAAGGAAAAGATGAGCGAGGGAACATCAAAGCATGGGAGAAAGAGAAAGAGGAGGGGATTTACAGCAGTCTCTAACAGCTTTGATTGAATATTCTAAATCCCATGAACTGAATGCTTACCCAGTCCCGAACTGCAGGGGATTTAGCAAGTCGAAAGTTTCCCCACAGAGCCGTAACTTTTGTGTGAAACCAGCCTTACATCCCAGCACGGCGTGCCTGGTGTGGCCTAGAGAAGGAGCATTTGGTCAAATAAGGCCTTTAGGGAGAGAGTAATGGTGAAACCAAGGAGAGCTTTTGTTCACAGCTATTTTGCACATAATAAAAGCTAAGCTCTTTATCTGCACCCTTCTCAATACATTATCCGACTGAGGGCTGGATGTAAAGCGAGAGCGCAAGGCCTGGATGACAGGGCGATGTAATCAGATATGGTCGATGTAGTAAACCGATGATGATGTTTCAGAGGTGATAATCACCAGGTTGGGAAGCTGACAGAGAACCAGAGGACCAGGTATTAACATTAAAGAGCTGAATATGTTGGGAAATTGGAGTTCAGGGGCCGCATTACAGAAACTTCCTCTCTTTAGTCCTAATTTAAGATCTGACAGGTCAAGATAAGATTCGTATTACAGAAGCAAATCTGATCTTAATTTAGGAATCTAATCTTATTTTACAGCGTCTTATCTCCAGTTAGGAAATCTTAACCTACTACGAAGTCAACAGTCAACTGTCATATCTGTTGCCTAGCAACTGAACATACACACACAGCTGAAACCTAAACACGTCATCAAAATAATGTTAAAAATTTAAGTTACAGCTGCCGTTACTGATGTCAAACAAAACTAAACTGTAAGGTGTGAATACTGTGAGAGCGCCCCCTGCTTTTTATCAGAGCGTCGGCGCTCCCCAGTTTCTGTCTCCGTTTCCCAAACGCTTTAGCCGAGCGCGCTAACGTTACTCCTCCTAATAAACAGACACACGTTCAGCTCCGTCTCCTCATTATTCACCACCATCACTGTAATATTTCATCATCAACATTAACACACGAAGGTGATCAGAGCGGCGGTGGAGATCGAGTCTGCAGCGTCTGAGATCTTTAAAACGCAGAGTTAGAAAAGAAAATCATCTCACAGTGAAAGCAGCGTTTTACAGTAGAAATAAATGGAGCTCATTATGCTGGTAGTGAACTATGCTGCTGACACAGCTGCCTAAAAACCATAGAAACGGACCTCAAACAGAAGTGAGGACCCTGTTGGGGTTCATCCTAAAGTTAGGACAGGATTTAGGAGGTTTAGTCTAGTTAGGATGTTTGTGTGATGCTGTTTTCTTATCTGGAGTTAATGATGAGATTATGAAGGTAGGAGCTGTTATTCTGGAATAGCTACTGTCCCAAATTCAGTCCGTACTGAAGTCGTCATGGAGACTAAACAGATCAGATTTCAGAGTTAAGGTGTTTCTGTAATATGGCCCCAGGTTCCAGTTAGAAGTGTGTGCCTGAACAGTGTAGAGCTATTAGCATGCAAGTCACCATGAATCTACACCAGAAGGAGCTCATAAATGCACGTATTTGCTGTAACATCTGTTGAAACAACTTGTGAAGTAGTTTTTATATTGTTAGGGTGCCCTGTTATATTATTTAATTAGTTTTTATTAAAGATTTTCAATAAAATAATTTATGTAAAAAAGCCTATAAACCAAAAATAGAGGAGAAAGTAGGTCAAAGCTGCAACAGACCGCATGCAACTATGGTTCCAAGTAGACAAGTGATCAGTTATGAATGTTGGCCAATCCCAGGTAGTACGAGGATAATGGGCCACTGTTGGCCTACTGGCTTTTTACTCAGCATTTTTGGGCAGAGCACTGAAAAAATGCCACAATGCCACAAAATGAAAACACTTTATCACACGTTTCATCACTCACAGCCCCGTTTACGTATTTTTCCTTCATTTCTTTTTTCATTATACTTTGTCAATCGGTTTAGTAAATAATTTTAACAATAATACCATAAATAAAGCCGGTTATACAGCTGTAAACAACAACAACAACAACAGTCTACTACAAAATCATGAACTCGTATGTTGGCAGATGGTTCTTCACGTTTGTTCATCTTTTGGTTTTTGCTGTTTCAGAGCAACTGGCTCAGTTAGCTGCCAGTCTGAGGAGGCCTGAGTCTGGAGCTGCGGGGCTGCCTGGCAGGCCTGGACCCCCTGGTCCTCCCGGACAACCAGGGGACAGCGGTTTCCCTGGGCAAGCTGGAGCAAGAGGACTCCCTGGCCTCAAAGGACCACCAGGACAAATGGGTCTTAAAGGGCCTAAAGGTAGGGAGTGGTTTGGGTCGCTCAGATTAATATCCCCCCAAAAAATTCTTCTCTGAATTGACCAGACTCAAATAATCAGGTTCCACCTGAAAAAAATAATGTCAGTACAATTATTTATTATGCAGTATTATATTTGTTCCCTTGGGCACTATTAATTTTGTTGATGCAGAGTATAGGTTGAGTCAAAAGTCAAGAATTACTCAAATAATACCCAAATACAGATAAATAAATCATAATATATATATATATATATATATATATAGATGTATATATATATAGATATACATATAGATAATGCACATTAATGAGTCTAAATGTACACCACTATCAAAATCGATGCATATGGTTTGTAATAATTGTACTAATCCACAATGTTACTGTATTGTTTTGCCCCTGGCTATGGTGCAGGTCAAATTGACCCATTTCAAAGTTTAAAAATACAGGAAAAATATTTTTATAATTTTTGGAGCAGGAAACGTTTTTCTGCTGGACTCACGGCTCATTTAGTGTGATCTGAATAGCAGAATATATGTCAAAAATGTTAAAATCTAAATAAGAATAAATAAAAATGTGTGAATGTCTCATTTTTGCTGGTGTACAGAAAAATACAGTTTGAAATTATTTTTACTGAAAATCAAGTGAGTTCTTATAAATAAACCAGCTTCTGTAATGGGAGAAAAACCTGATTACACTAAATATTGATAATAATTGAGCTAAAGATGATGTTCGTGGATATGGGGAGTGACTCCAAAGTTTTGAACTACAGTGTAAACGTGCTGGTGTTGGTTTTCAGTCCTGACTGTGGAGGCTAGAAACAACTCAGACAAAATAAAAGACACATTTACATGCACGCCCTGTTATAAGACTTTGGAACACAGCAGTGATGAAGTGTGTGACCCTGTATGTGTGTAATTATGTTTAATTCCAGGCGAAATGGGCGACAGAGGAGCTCGAGGGCCAACAGTGCGGGGACCCAAAGGCATTCCAGGACCACCCGGCCTGCCAGGTCAGCATCAACAGTCACAGCCTCATATGACCCACTTACCTCGTCTCATATTACCCACTGCAGACGCCTGCTGTTCATTATGTTTTTCATTTTTCAAAGCACTGAAGCTGATATTCTGACTCAGTCTAATTCATAAAGGAAAATACGGCGGCCGTTACAGGAGCTGTCATCTTACGCACAACAGCTAAATCGAACAGAACAGCTCGATTCATTACCCAGAATGATGCAGGAGATAAATTTAGCAGCACTGGGCAGATTGACTTTTAGAAATATTATCTAATCAAGTCCAGTGACTCTGAAGACTCGTTAGAGTGCATGGAGTCCTGGGAATGTCACTGACCATTACTGTCAATCAGGTTGTGGTCTGCATAAGTAGCCCTGCATCGGCAGGAATCCCTGAGATTCGATGGATGCAGACAGTTCTGTATTAGCCAAGATGTTTTTCAGGGTTACAAGAAAACGTCAGGCTTTGTCTGTGTTGGATCAGCGGGGATTGATCTGAGTGAATAAGCCAGTTGTGCGTCATTATTGCGCCCTAATCTGACATCCGTTCTTTTGGGTTTGGCGCTGGTTTCTGTTACGTGATGCACAGTGGTGGCTGTTGCTCTTTGAACTGGAACATAGAATTAAAATAATTTTTTTATATGAATGATTTCCCTCCAATACTGAAACATGGTGAAACCAATGATGTAGGCCCAAGCAATCGGGCATTAAATGTAAATAATCAGCACTAATAAAAGGCTTGTCTTATTTTGGGCGCTAACCTGGCTGCCACTGCAGTTGCTCAGGGGCAGCTGTCCAACATCTGTTGTTTATTAACTCTGTTTCTGGCAGCTGTATGTTAACCACGGCCTTAAATTCAACGTCTTCAAGTTGTTGATTATGATGTGGATACAATCACTAATTACCTTGACATAATGTTATTTTCTCAAAGAGGAATAACTCAGTATTTTGATATACTGCTGCTGCGTATACATGCTGGTCGTAGATGGATAACGGCAAACTGGATATTCTGTTGTTTTCAATGGAGTCGTGATGTAAAATTCTGCCATAACGAGTGTCCACGTTCCGCGGACACAGTGAGCAGAACGTTCTGTCTGAAATTCAGTTTTCACTGCGGAGTGAACCACCAAACGTCTCGTAGTTAATTCCAGTTGACCCCAGTATACCACACAAAATAAGCATACAGAGCGCTTCCTGCCTTTCTCCACCATAAAGGAACAACCTACACTGATAAAGCTCCTCTGATAACCATGTGACGCAAGATCACAAGAAAAGTGTCGCTGTTTTGACTTACTAAGTCGTATCTGTTTAGGTGGGGCGATTTTGGGTTTCAGTAAAAGAACACTGGGAGCAGACTGTGGAGAGCAAATATCAACATTAAAGCTAAAGCCAAATCCTGGACATCTCTGACAATTTAGTAATGGACACATTTTTAACCCTGCGTTCACACCGGCAGCGACTTTTCGTCTCTTGTCGCCCAAAACGCTGGTCACTCTTTGCCTGTGGGTGTTTCTGAACTCGAGCGGACCGTTGGTTGCCATGGTTTCACTGACCGCCAAGCCCAAATCAGATGTGTTCCCACTAAAATGAAAAATCCTGGTGAGGAATCGCTTGTGTGCTTATTCTTATTCAGTCCCCATGTCTGTGCAGTCAGTGTGTGAGGAAAACAGTGTTTGGTCTTTGCGATTACTGTCCATTATTCCATCTCTAGTAGGAACAACTATGTAGGAACCAAAAACGGAGAGTACTGTTTCACAGTGTACTACACTGCTCAATGCTCAATTCCTATTAATAATAATAATAATAATAATAATAATAATAATTTCAACTTACATAGTGCCTTTCACAAACCCAAGGACGCTTTACATAGTATCAAAAAAATAAAAAAATCTAGAAGACTACAGGGAAGAAAAAAGGAAGGTTTTTAGCCGAGATTTGAAGGAAGACAAAGAAGAGCAACTACGAAGAGTGGAAGGTAGAGACTTCCAGAGTTTGGGGGCAGCAGCACTGAAAGATCTGCCACCCATAGTGGAAAGTGTAGTTGAGGGAACTGTGAGGAATCCAGAATTAGAGGATCGGAGAGCGCGAGAGGGACGATACAATGAAATGAGATCAGAAAGGAATGTCAGAGCCAGACCATGTAGAGCCTTGAAGGTAAGAAGAAGGAGTTTGTACTTAATCCTAGAACTGATAGGAAGCCAGTGCATCTGCCGAAGAACAGGAGGAATATGAGCTGAGCGCTTGGTGGAGATGAGAACCCTGACTGCTGAGTTTTGGATGTACTGAAGACGATTAGTTTAGTGGAAGGCCATGGAAAAGTGAGTTACAGTAACCGATGCGAGAGAAGATGAAGGCATTGATCAACATTTTAGCGTCAGTGTGACTCAGCATAGGGCGTAAGCGTGCAACGTCACGCAGATGATAAAATGCAGTTTTGGTGACGAGCTTAACGTGAGACTCAAACGTGAGAGATGAATCAAGAAGACAGCCAAGGTTCTGAACAAATTGGGCTGGCTTAATATCGACACCATCAACGTTGACTGAAAAGTTCAGTATTGGTACAGTGTGTCCCATTTCAGTGGCTGCGTCCTTCAGAGGCTGCGTTTAAAGGCCGACTGCGTCAACTAGTCTGTCCCATTTTGAAGGCTCATTCATATGCGGCCGAGAAATGTGTCCTTTTCCATGGCAACAAAGGATCCAATGGGTGGATCCTTCTCTAGCCAACATATCCCGAGGTTCACTGTGTGCCGGTGAGGATTCGAGAATATGGCAGCATCAGCAGAGGAGCGAACGGCAGCTGAGGAGACACTTTAAAATATAACTGGTAGTCGCCACATCGCTTCGCTCCTTATTTGCATAAAATTACGCTGACTCCGCCCACTTAGAGTCGCCAACATTTGTGCCGCCTCCTGTCGCCGGAAATCGCAGCTCTCATTGAAAATGAATGACCTCCGGCTGCTTTGTCGCATCGCTGCTGGTGTGAATGTGGGGTAACACATGACACTGTTTAGTTTATTGTCAATTTATCTAATATTTCTCATTTTCTAAGCTTATTATAAGATTATTAAACTTATTTCCAGACATTTATACTTGTTTTAAGAGGTTTACTAAGTCAGATTATCTGCTGATATATTGCGACAGATTGACTCTCCGAATTCTCTAAAAACTGTCTGAAAGTGTCCAGTAGGGAGTTAAACAATAAGCATTAATCTCAAAATGGGAAATACTGGATATATCAACCATATTTAAGACCACTTCACTTGACAAGACACCATTATTTACACTGAGGTCCCGAAAAAGGACGTGTCCCTGAAAAAGAGGATGTATGGTCACTATAAAGCTTTGGGCTGGTGTGGCTCTAAGTTTTTATTCCAACCAGCAGTGTGCTTCTGCTTGACTGGAATGAAAACCTGTAACAACACAGAGCCCTTTTAGATTAGATCGATAAGCTTTAAGTCAACACACACAACCCACTGCTCTGAGATGAAAAGTCAAACTTTGAGATTAAAAGATGTGAGTATTTTGGCAGAAACTGAGCAGGAAAATTATTATAAACATTGGGCCTCGTTCTTCAACCGTTCTTAAGAAGAAATTCCTTCTTAAAAGCTACTTTTTTATATTTGTATATATTTAAAACGGATCATTTGACGAGGGAATAGGCAAATGGCTTGAGGTTTAGTCCAAGAGTCTATGGCTACGTTTACACAGCAGGTGAAAGTGGCCCAAATCTGATCTCTTTCTACACAGATGTGTGTCTGTGTGTCAGTGTGAACAGATAAACACACTGAATGTGACATTTTCAACTCTGATTTGAGACGCTTTCATATGTGGTACTGAAATCTGATACGTATCCGATCTGCGGCAATGTGACTCAGTCTGAACAGCCAGATCAGAATTCATGCGACTTTTACGTCAATCCATCTCCACATTCGTCATGATTTCGCACTCATAAACATTTGGGCTGATATTTCTGTACAAAATTAGGAGAGACTCCTAAAACTCCTCCGTGTTTGAAGAGATTTCTAAAGAATTGTCCGAACGCGGCCGCAGGAGAACGAGGCTGCAGCGTCAAACAACAGTTAAAAGTCTGAAAGCAGAGTTTAAAGAATCCGAGGACGCGAACCAAAGAAGTGACCGCGCCCTTTTTACGGCTCCAACACATTCTGGGTGACGAGCCCAGCTGTCAGTCAGTGAAGCTTCATGATGGCTCCTGTGATGCTGGTGAAGATGAAGCTGATCCTCCGGGAGCGACTGGTGCTCGTTGGCGGTCGTGATTGTTTACCTCTGGATGAGCCGTGAAGCAGCGTGACGCTCTGTTCTTTTGGTCAGTTTAGGAGCTGATCTGTTCAGACTGATGATACAGATCACATTTAAAAGATAATCTGAACAGGCAAACTAAAAAATCTGATTTGGGCCACTTGTACCTGCTGTGTGGATGTAGCCTTAGTGTTCTAGTCTTGAACTGCGCATTCTGACGTTCTGGAAAAAAGTATAAAAAGTACTTTCTAAAACAGTATTTTTTCTTAAAACCTACTTACACTGTTTTCACTAAAATTCTGCCATTTTGTTATGTGGGATTTGTTCTTGGGTAAGAACAGAATCAACACACTTAAGAGCACAAAGGTGAGAACAGTTCTGCGCTTTAAGAACACGTCATGAATCTGACGCAGACTTTATCTTAGGACCTTTCTCAAGAACACATTCAAGAACAAACTTATGAAGATACTGGAGAATGAGGCCTGTGTTTTTTTTCTACTCCAATACAAAAATGTGAGCAAAACAGGACTTTATATTCTGCTGGTCATTTGTTGACTACAAAGTTGAGCCAGTGGTCATTTACACGCTTTTTCTAGTAGATAACCACTTAGTTGGCCACTCCAACCAACAAATCTAAAGTCTAAAGACTGTCTGTAATTAGCGCCTGTTTTAGTAAATCTGCTTGAGTCACTTTGGACTATTTCTGTTACTCCTTTCGTCATGAAATGTTCACACAATGCTGCCATTTTTCAAAGAAACTAAAGGTTTTGATGTGACTGATGATGCAGCTTATATTCATGAGCACCACCATCTCATATCGTTTTATTAAACATCTAGTTTTGATGCCTCACCTGCTGTTGCTTTCTACTCTCAGGTGAGCCCGGTAAGCCCGGTTACGGTCAGGACGGCCGTGATGGAGAGAGAGGTCCGCCAGGTTTTCCTGGGCAGCCTGGCGTTCCTGGACCTCCCGGCGCTGCCGGCCCCCCTGGCTACTGCGACCCCTCAGCGTGTAACCTGAGCGCCGGTGCTGCACATCAGGCCCTGAAAGACTCCAACCTCAAGGGACCGGGCGGTAACTGAGTTCTCACAGGACATCAGGGGGACGTGGACTGAGACGGAGAGACATGTGGACAGCAACCTTCTCACTAAAGCTTGCGCCTTTTCCGCCGCGGTGAAGTGAGAACGTTCTGTGCCGGCACGCCCCCCCGGTGCTGACCACATCTGTAATAAAAGAACAAACTTTTACCTCCAGCGTAAACTGGAACGTTGTTTAGAAACATTTTGGAGAGTTTCTTACCTGATTTTCAGTCGTCGGAAAACCGTTTCACTTTTCAGAAAATCTTCTGGCCACATGGTCACCGTCGTCTAAAACCTGTAGCACAGGATTTTTACTGGATCCAACTAGTCAGTTACCTTACACTGCAAACAGTGGTATCCATCAAGCGTATTGTTTCTAGTTCTCGTTTGTAGCCGGGGTACCTCACTATGTGCCAAAGATAAATTTACGGAAAACCTACTGTTTATCAGCGTGTACAGAGATTTTACAGAACCTGCTTTCTTAAATAAAAAAGGGAGAGAGGATTTTAGATTTATTCTTCTGGGCATCTGTGTAAATGTTTTGAATTGTAGTTTAATATGAAATTTCTGTTTTCAGCAGCAGAGAAGTTTGTTTACTCTCAATTGCAGGAAAAGAGGAGAATTATTGATATAATGTCCAGTTCGGGAGCATCAGATGGTAAAGTATTACTGCTAGGAAAAAACACCAAAGTATGGCTTTTGTATTTATTATATGAAGGTAGCGTTGAAGGCTGTACAGAGATTGACAAGAAGTACATTTGAATAAATTTAATGTTTTTGTATTAATTATAAACAAAGCTAAATGTGAATGATGTTTCGTGATGTGTATATTATCCTGCTTAATGAAAGAGCTGCATTAATGCGTTAATCGTGCGCTTAATTTTAAGAGCATTCTCAATCAGTAATATAACAAATATAACAATTAAGACCAGCAAGAAAAACTACATTTTTCCAATGGGGCAAACTTTTATTTTGTATATAGTTGATTTAATGCTACAATGCAGTGCGTACACTTGGGCATACATGGAATAAATATCAGAAAGAAATATCAAACAGACAAATATAACTGCAAAATAAACATGAACATGTTCTTTTTTACATTAAAGAGCAACTAACACTGAAGATAAAAGAACAAAGCAAAAAAATAATGAGAACTTTGTTTACATTCAGTGTGAAATAAAAAGTCACAAACAGTCCCTATTTCATGTCAAATCTGAGCCTCAATCACACTAAAGGGATGCTTTTAAAACTAAAATATAAATAAAACTATTCCTGCAATTCACAGCCTCATCTGGATCTGTAATTTCAATGAACATGCTAAATACAATCACTGTAATCAAAAGCTGAGAGCTACGTTCAAAGCCATGATTAGTAAAACATGAAAGTAAATACAGACGCTACGTATTAACAGCACCTCTTGGAGGTTTTAGATATGAAAACATCGTTTCATTTTTTTTTTTTTTCTGAAAATATCAACATATTCATTCGTCCTATCTCTAAACGGACGCTGCCACAAATTCAAAAGGATAAAAGAATAAAAGAAGACATGATAATAAATAAAAATAAAAAAACATTTCATGGTTTCCTTGTACACAAGCTGTGAGAACTTCGCAGTAGAGCAGTAGAGGTGGAAATGCTAATGAACTGAACACATTCGGGGGAATAAACCACTCAGTATTGACACATTCTGTTTGAAAATACATAAAATCTAAGGTAAACGTGTCACCATGATCCCTACCTGCTTATCAAAGCCCTGAAGCAAAGAAAGCCGTCAGTATGAGTAACTTTCCGTTTGTTGTACAGGGTGATTCAAAAAGATTGATCTGATTTCAAAATGATTGATTTCTCTTGTAAATCGTTACAGATCAATGCAGTGAACTGTAAATGGTTTAAATGAGCATAAAGTTTATTATGTAATTGTATATGTGCTCAGTATGAACCTCCTCCAGCTGTACAGACAACATCAACGCCATAGTCAAACTCATCCCATACTGGATTGAGCATGTCGGGTGTCGCTGCACTCACGGCTCTTTCAGTGCGATTTCGGAGATCATCCAGTGTTGTGGAACCAACGCCGAACGCTCTGAGCTGTTGGAGCTTCACTGCCCACGAAAATCACACTGCACAGTTATGACGGATTCACTCTTATTGAAGTGGAGAACGCAGAACGCTTTCAGCTCAGGGGTCTCATCTCCTCTCAGACTGAAGGGAGCCAGTCAGAAACTCTATGACCCCCTCTTTCAATTGGATTGTGATTGGTTCCTAGACGTCTGACGGTTGTAGAAATACGGTGCTTTGAAGTCGGATGAATCTTTTTAAATCACCCTGTACTCATCACAGAAGATCTGTTTGTACCAGCAGTGCCTTCTACATCATTACTGACACAAACTTAATGTAATTTAGGTTTAAATATGTTCACTGAAGCTTTAAACAGATATGAAGATGTTAAGTCTTCGCTGACGTCAGTTTCCTGACTGTGTTGCTGATGACGCAGCCGAGCGCGTCCGCATTCAATCATAACAACTTGCCGCCTGAAGGGACTGTACAAGCTGACGTTTGCTGAGAGGCTGTTAAACTAATCACACGCCTTGTTTTCTGCAGTTTCTAGCCGAGTATGATGAAATACGCGCCAGGTGAATATACAGCGGGGAGCTGTACAGCCTCATCAAACACAACTGATTAGCATTCATGGAAGCGGCGAGGAGCCATTCTGTCAGAACAGGATCGGGACGGAAATCCTGAATAAGCTGTCAGTTATTATGCCAAATTAGAGACTTGATTAGTTTCAGTAAACAGTGTTTCAAACACGCATTAAATAGGAAATTGAAGCATCTTTTACTGCAAATATATCAGGGAGCATCGATCAATCAAGCTGAACACCAATGGACCTTGTATTCGTTTCTCCAAATGAATGTAAAAAGTTTTATGTATTTTACATTTTGAGTGAATTATGAAATGAATATACTGGGGTTTACATGAAAAGCAGCAACGGAGCTGTTAGACCACCTATTCTGATAAAGTTGTGACTGAAATATAGATACAGTCTGAGTAATAATCAGCAAACAGTGTCTTAACTTTCCAGATTATAGTCTGTAATCTCACACTGAGCTGCCAGTTTACTACCCAGCGTCTACACCCACTGGCCACTTTATCAGACTCGCACTGAAAAAGCTAAGAATCTGGCTCAACCTAACATTATAAAGTGGTTACACTGCTTTTCTTGAGGCATTTTCTCTTCTAAGGCGTCCAGATGTGGACAGCTGTGGCTTTGCTAGGCTTCAAACCCACAACCTCCTGATGTTGGGATGAATTATTAGGCTTTTAAGGGCTTTTAAAGTTTCAAAGTAATAAATATTTTCTACAGTGTATTAAACACTTATGGATACGAAATCTGAGCAACATCAGGTGCTCGAGTGCTGCAACAGACTTAATCATCACCCCAACAAGAGATCATGAGTTTGAACCCCAGCGATGCCACAGCCGTCCATAAGCAAATACCCAAGAGAAGAAAACATCTGATAGGATTGTGTGATGAAGAGTTCCAGCTACTGGAGACATTAGAGAAAAATACACACACACATTTATGGGTCATTCTACAGAGACGTCCACTTTCCTATCTGTCCATAGGAGTCACTGGTGTTACCGATCCTCATTGGTGTTCCTCATAATAAAGGAACACCAGAGACATTTTAATGAACAATGCGTTTTACAAAATAACACCTACAGAACATCAAACCACATGTTGTCAATCAGGGAATATCCACTAAAATATGGAATTTAATCCATTTGTGTTCTATTTTTACACAATGACCTCGGTCACACCAGTGACTTCAGCTAAAAGCTTCATATGAAATCATGAGCTAAATGAGAAAATCTCTGATAACTGAAAGACACAGTGGACTCACCATGAGCTTTTCTTCATAGAGCCTCAGAAAACAGGTAAAAGGAAGTCAAATGATGTCATCAGTGTGACTTTTATTTCGGAATAAGAGATTTTTTGTTGGAAACCAATATTGCTAAAATAACGGCTCAGGAAGGTGTAGCTGTTACAGTAACTTATTGTCTTATTTTAAAATATAAATAACATTTTTTTCCAGTGTAATATATCTGTAAATGCTGGGGACACAAAAATGGACGTTTCTGTAGATGATATATATATATATATATATTTTCCTAACTGAGAAGCTGAATTCAAAATGTAAGAGAACTCAACTAAGAAGTCTGAGTTGGGGCAACTCCAGTGTCCTCAAGTTGAGTTCACTTGAAGAAGAATTTCCCTCTGGGATTAATAATGTGATCTGTCTGTCTAAATGCTGTGTAATCAGTTACTGTCTGATCTTAACATGAGCTGACTTTCCTTTTTAACAGTGTACTAAGGCTGGGCGATACGGCGAAAATATATCACGATACTTAAAGAAATCTTTACGATACACGATATGCTTTGTGATATTTAGTTTTGTTGTAACAGATAAAACGGAACCTGTAGTGTCACATAATAATTAACCTACAACAACAATGATCATTATTCATTGTTCTACTGGACTATGTCCAATTTAACAGGTCTAATTATGCTCATAATATAATGAAACACTGGGCCTCATTCACCAGTATCAGTCAATATTCTTTAAGTACCAACAATATCAGTGAGATGCTCAGAAAAGTGTTTTACGACATAATTTATCACTATAACGATAAAATATCGTCATGTTACTCTACAGTGTACCATAGGTGAACCTTCTAGATTTACATTTTTTGACCGTAGCCCACCTGTTGCTGCACAGTTCATCAGCCCCCCTCTAACTCATCAATGGAAAGAAACCACCACAGGGCCACTGCTGACCAGATATGGTTTGGGAGGTGGACCAATCACAACACAGCAGAGAAACTGACATGGAAGCATTGCTGGGGTCGGTGGTCTCTCCCATTGCTGGGTGGGGTAACTGAGTATCTGTATACCTACAGGGTGCAGCTATGTGGTAGATGTCTCTGATAAAATTGCCAGTGATTGTATGTTACATAGGTAACCTAATAAACTGGAAACTCAATCCGAACTGCAGCGATGATTAGGTTTCCATGCTGACCTACCACACAGTGCTAAACCACGAACGAGCCAGAAACAGCTCCTCTACCTCTACGGCCCCAAAACTCTGACAGGTTGTAAGCAAGGCCACACAGCACCCCACAGTGCATCTTTGGTTTGGCCTGTAAATGGATAATGAGGATTGACAGGCATTAGATCAACAGTCAAAAGGTAATGGACCTCAAATAATGGCCAGTATCGTGACCACTCGGGCCCTTCAGTGCCATCAGAGACAAACCTGAATGAAGAATGCATTCATGTATGCAGAGCTTTCAAACTCCAGACTCCTCTGAAGGCTCACAGCACATCATTTTTCTGCTTCGACCCACCTGATCGGGTCCACTGAGCTTGATAATTAGCTCAAAGGTCATGCTGGATGCTGTGTCCTTTCAGGCCTGGAGTTTGACTGTTCACTGAAAGTAATTTTATAGAATTTAACCGTGCAGTTGACTCATCTTCGCTCCACAAATATGTTCTGGTAGCAGCTGTTCTGAGAGAAGACAAGCTTTACAGAACGTTAATAACAGGCATGTGCACAGACAGACCCCACACGGGGCTTGAGCACCTGTCCAAGCCCACAGACTCTACTAGTGCCCTCATGGTTGGTGTGCATAAGAGCCCAAACACACCAGACTGATGAGGAACAAGTAG